TTTTTTCATGTCCTCTATGCTCTAACTACGAAAATATTTGATTTACAAATAAGGAATCCTACTTCGCGGAATTTCATTTATCACGGGTCTAGAACCGATTAACTGCGATAAACGAGGGTTCACTGTATTCATCAAGTAAATCTATCAGAATTACTCCTTTGGAATAAAACATTTGCCATACCTTCCGAGCTGAACTCTTTGCCTTGAATTTAGTTTTAGATCTTTAAGAATTTGGTCCATATAAAACCTGTTGCTGTTTTGGGGGGTAGACCAGCATTCTTGGAAACTTGTAGCAGAACTTCAATGATGTGGGAAGTTGTCCATTTGAGTTTTGTTAAAATTTTGATATTAGCTCTGACCTCAAAATTCCTTTTTTTCCATAGCACAAAAAGGATCCTCCTTTTAAAGGTATCCTAATGAAACTAATTGTATTATTTGTGTGCAGCTGTACAGGCGTGTTTAGAATAAACCCAAGCACGTATGACTGGAACCCTAGTAGTGATAGTTGTTTGTTGTTGTTTTAACTTCTCTATTACTCTTACAACCAGAAACCAAAGAGATTGCAATAACTTGGGTGTGTTAGCTTAGGAGTGGCTTTCTCTGCACCAAAGATGAAATGTAGATGTTTGGGAAAGCCAAATCTATTTTATCACATAGGTGAGGCTGGCTGAAGATGGGCTTGGCAGCTTTCACCACATGGGCAGGCAGGGGCCCAGAAGGTCATGAAGCTAGTGGGCAGTTCTCACAGCCTTAGCCAGTCTGCTTCTCCTCAATGAGCACTCTCACAGTCCTCCTATGACTCACCCTGCGCTTGGTCTCCACAGGCGAGAACAAACTCAGTTGTCCCATGCAGCAATGTTGGACCAGGAGCGCTATGAGGATTCCCACATGGGCGGATATCAGCGGATCTACCCTGGGCCTGACACAGAGAAGTATGCACCCTTCTTCAAGCACAATGGCTCCCTCTTCCAGGAGACTGCTGCTTCCAAGGCCAGAGAGGAATGTGCCAGGTATTATGCCAAAAGTCGTAGGCTGGAATCTGCAGTTTCCTCTGTACACTTGGGTGGGGGCAGATGCACAGGAGGAGGAACAGAGCTAGACAACACTTGAAGATTGAGGTATGGAGCTATAAATTCTATCAGATTCCTAGTATTTCGCCCTAGTCTTTGTCCAGATCCTACTCTTTTCCCATCCCCATTTTTCTTGGCCTCTTTCACCCCAACATAATTTCACCAGCGTCTGAAGCTCCTGTGTATTGTCAGGCAACAACTGGAAGAGATCCGCCTCAAGCAGGAACAGCAGGAGGCCTCCAGCAATAGGAGGAGAAAGGAAAACAAGGACCAGAACCAAGGGGAGTCAGCCGGGGAGAGGAGCCGATGCAAGATGGGGCCTCGAGGCCTTTCCACCCACTTGATTCACAGGAACCGGATCCAGGAGAAAGAGGTTTCAGGCGTTTCGTGGCTCTCCCTTTTTTATAGGAAAATGGGTTGGCACTACTAGAGAAGGGAAATCTGCAGACCCCTCTTCCCCTTGCACCAGAAAGAAAGGAGTACCCTAGCAATAAACGGAATCTGACCTTTTGGTTGAGGAGATGAGAGAATAGGTAGCACAGGGTCAAGAGTAGCAGAGGATAAGTGTGGGAACCATGCAGCCAGGCCAGGGAAGGGATGGAGGAAGTGTGGGCGCGGGGCCTCTAGCCCTGCTTGCTGATGACCTGGGCCTCAGCCTTGGAGATCCTGCATCTCTCTCTCATGTTCCTTTTAGCTGCTACCAGTGGACACCATGCAGCCTCAGGAAATTGTGGAAGAGGAGGAGCTGGAACGCATGAAGGCCCTGCTACAAAGGGAGAATCTCATCCGTAGCTTGGGTATTGTCGAGCAGCTCAACCGCATGCTGCACACCAACCATCGGGGCCAGAAAAAGCTCCTTGAGTATCGGGTGAGGGTCCCAGAGCAGCCCACCCTCTCAGAGAATAAGGGAACAAGGGCTGTGACACTGGCACAAGGTGGTAGTCACATCAAAGAAGGCTAATGCGATGGGATCTGGCAGTGGAATCCAGGAAAGCTATGTACATTGGGAGGGCCTGATGGTTATTTCTGCATCTACTCCCACACATCCTTGTTTTTAGTCATGATATCCAGCAAAGCAATTTGCTCTGTATATTCCTGTTTCACAATAATCCAAAACTCCTGCTTGACAAATAACAAGGCCACCACCCTCTTCAGTAGCTTCTGTGTAATTCTCTCCCTAGCAATGCCAGTGCCCTGGTTCTGAAGGGAGATAAGTAAACAATCTTGGGCCAACAAAACAGCCGCCGCATTCACTATTCCCTGGGTTAGGGCAAATCCATCTGGATTCTCTCTTCTGTTGAGCCCCGAAGGAGGAACTGATTAAATCAGTGTTTCCCAAAGTGGGGGAGGGGGGGGTCCCAGAATAATCTAGGGTAGCTGAAAAAACATGTACCTACATTTAATCTTGAATTATGGGGTATAGTACCAAGTTTTTAATTGCCTGAGGGTATTATTATTATTTCCTGAAAAGGGGGTGGTAGGCCAAATAAGTTCAGGAACCTGTGGGTTAAGTGGTGGTTGTGACCTAGTAGAGACTTTTTTTGCAGTTACCTATTCCTTCCGACCTGTACCCCATCTCACAAAAAATGTGGTAAGGGGCTGCTCTTCTCCTCCAGCCTAGAGTTCACCAGGATGGGATGGGCAGTCAAGAAATGCATTCTGTAAGTCTGGTCCCATTGGTGATCTTGAGAGGGGCCGCCACAGAACAGGGCCTTCCTCATTTCCTGCATCCAGTTCGGCCCCAGGAATTGATCCCCAGGATCCTAGGGCCTCTGCCAAGCATGAATGCTGCAATTCCACATCATTCCCAGTGCCAACTACAACCTAAGAACTTCAGTTGGATGGGAGATCCAGCAGCCAAAGGGCCCTGTTCACTGTCAATGAAGAAATGTGAACGGCGCTACTGTTCCAGCAGCAGCAGACTGGGGCTCACTAGCCGTAAGTATACAAAAAGAGTTTTGGTCACTTTCACTTGTATAAATCTCCATTAGCTGATATTGCAGCTGGGATGCTCCCAAATTATAATATTGCGCTTCCAGGAGAGTAGGAATGGGGGTTGTGCAGACCCATTTATTCATTTCTCACTAGACTTTGATGGACAAGTAAACTCAGCATTTGCCATAAAAGTGGTACAGGCAGGGGAGGGAAGCAGGCAAGATGTTCCTCTGTGCCAAGTCACAGCTGGGGAAGAGGAAAGGGAACACTCATCTGAGAATATCAACTCAGAGGGGCTCATGTTTCCACCACAGAAGGACAAGCCAGCAGAAGGCTAGAAGCTATAAACCGCGCCCTGGCAGGATCAGTGCCACCCTCTTTAACCCCACAGCAGGGTTATCTTCTACACCCGGAAAGAGTGGCAAGTGACTCCTGGGCTGCCTGCGCCATGCCCTCCACGGTAGACTCTGAGCACAGAGCAGGCAAGGTGGGAGACCTCACCCTCTGCCCTGCCTCTGCACCCCTCCTACAGCGTTCCAGCGTACTCCTCAACTTCAGCCATCACAGGTAAAGAGCAGGAAGCAAGCCCAGGACTCACCCTCTCCTGGAGAACCCATTCAGGTTTCCAAAGGGCCAACGACCTTTCTTGCTACATGAGACTGCCATGCTCCAGTTTGAAACGCCCTGGTGAGGAACCCTATCTGCAGAAGGCAAAACACCACTCCCCATACACCCTAAAAGTATTTTGGGATCCGTAAAGACTAAAAGATCAAAAGCAGCCCGGACGGCTATGTACTCAGCCCTTTCAACTTTAGCTGAAACCTGGGTGAGGTCAGGGGCTGGACGTCATCCCGACGGACAAGAAGTCTCTCTTCCTGAGGAGCCGGGTGCCCAAAGCACGGACTGTCGCCTTCAGGAGGTGACCGCGGTAGGGATGTCCCTGCCCGCTCCTGTGACGGAGGCAGGCAGGCCGGTCTGGGAAGGGGCGGCTCTTGGCAACTGAACCTGTCTTTTTATTAAAGTTCTCTATACCTTTTCCTGCTCCGTCCGGTACTTCATGCCCGTCCTTGAGTTTCAGAGAAGCCCCCTCCATCCACAGTTCCGGTTCGAGCCCAGCAATCCCCGCCCTCAGCGTGATGCCACGCCCCCCGCGCGCCTACTTCCGATCCCGCCCACTCACTTCCGGCGTGGTCGCGGTGCGCGCCGTGGAGAAGCTGTGCTCGTCGTCATGGCGGTAGCGCTGAGCCTCTTTCTGGGCGGGCGTGTCCGTGCCGCTGTGGTTCGCCGTGGGTTCGCGACCCGGGGAGTGACGGGCCCGGGCCCCGTCGGTCGCGAGCCGGATCCCGATTCCGACTGGGAGCCGGAGGAGCGGGAGCTGCAGGAGCTGGAGAGGTACCGGCTCCTTCCCGGGCCCTCAGCCTGAAGCAGGGCCTCCAGTCCCGGCGCTCCGGGCCGCGCCCCCTCGGCGCCGGGCGTCCGGCCGCCGCTCCCGCCGCGGCCTTCGTTTCTTCGCCCTTGTTTGGGGCGCAGGGGCAGTTTGCCAGCTTCCTTAGGACCATGTATTCCTTGACGTATTTCCAGCACCCGTTTAGAGTTCGTGCTTCCGGGCCGCTAGTGTTCTGAGACTTGGTTCCGAGCAGGTGTAAGCAGGCGAACCGCCCGCGGGCCCTTCCGTGCGCAGAGCGAGAGGGCTGGGCAGCACGTGACTTAGCCTGAGGCTCCCCAACCGCCCGCTTCTTCCACGCACGGCTCCTGCTATTGGTTCTCTCCCTCAGCGCCCTGAAGCGACAGAGAAAAGCTATCCAGTTCCAGAAAATTCGGAGGCAGTTGGAGGCGGCCGGCGCCCCGCCCAGGACCCTGACGTGGGAAGCCATGGAGCAGATCCGGTGAGACTTGGGATCCCGGCGGTGAGGTGCAGAACCCAGGGGTTTTGTTAACTCCTTTTTCGTATGGGGAATTTGTGACAGAGCAGGCGAACCAGATAGCGAACCTCCAGGAGTTTATTCGTTTCTAACATCATGGCACATTTGGCTCGTTGTTGGCCGAAAACCGTTTTTGTTTTTTGCTGGTAACTCAAATAGTGAGTTACAGACGTCTCAACATTTAACTCCTAAATAGATCTTAATGTCCTAAACTTAGGCTCCATAGAGGGGGCTGCCCTCGTCATGAGCATTTTTCTGGAGAGGATTTGTATCATAAATCCTTTTTTGAAGCCCTGTCATACACCTGACAGACAGGCAGAATGATGTATATATTTGAATATTTTGTGTTGTTTTCAAGAGCTAACACCTAATGTATGGCTCAAAAGTAAAACAATCTAAGTGGGAGGTTTTGCTCCCACTCTAGTTAACTGCAGCTCCTATTAGAAGTTTCTTGGGCCAGCTCCCAGGTTTCCTTATGCAGTGGCTCAAGGGCTTGGCTGACAGAAAGGTTGGTGATTCACCTTGGGAGAAATATGTGGCAGTCTGCTTCAGCAAAGACTGCAGCCATGGAAACCCTCTGGGGCAGTTCTCTGAGGGGGTGTCAGAAAGTTCATGGAAAAGTTCGATCTTTAATTACATTTTTCCATGAGTTTTATGATGCCCCCTCGCATCTATTTAGTTACCATATATGCGAGAGTAAGCCGACCTGAGTATCAGCCAAAGCACCTAATTTTACCACAAAAACTGCATTAAAAATGTGCTGGAAAACTTGGCTTATACACGAGTGTATACGGTAATCTGAAATAAAGTCTCAAAACACTATTCCTCTCCCCTGCCATTCAGTAGATTCCTTCTCTTAGTAATCCTATGTAGGGTTGTTGAGTCTCAGATAGCCTGTCTTTCTCCCTCCGCAGCTGGTGGCTTTGGACTACTGACTTTGTGGCTAGTGGTCCAAAGCTGATCCAAAATTTGCTCAGCAGTGCTATCAGGACTCCTCCAAAACCAAGCTCTGTCATCAAGTCGATGCTAACTCATAGTGACCCTATAGCAGGGGTCCTCAAACTTGCCAGTTCACTGTCCCTCAGACCCATTGGAGGGCTGCCGGGCTATAGTTTAAAAAGAAAACTATGAACAAATTCCTACTCACACTGCACATATCTTATTTTGAAGTAAAAAAACAAACGGGGCAAAAACACCCGGTGGGCCGGATAAATATCCTCGGAGGGCTGAAGTTTGAGGACGCCTGCCCTATAGGATAGGGTAGGACTGTCTCAGTGGGTTTCTGTGACTTAACTTTTTGCAGAGTAGAAAGCCCTGTTTCCCTGAGCAGCAACGGGTGGTTTTGAACTATGACCATGTGGATCCTAGCCCAGTGCATAACCACTACACCATCAAGGCTCTACCAGGCTCCTTACATTTGACTTTTTTCTGTTTAATAGATCCTATTGATCTTATCAATTCAGAAAGAGCACCCCTTATCCTTTTCATGGCTTCCTAATTAGCATAGTTTATTTAGCCAGTCTTTTGTAATGGGTACTTGGTTCATTTCCACTCATAAGTCACAAATAGTGCTCTAGTGTATAACTTTAACTTTGTACATATATCTTTCTGCATCTGCCAGGTATATGAGGGGGCAACAAAAAAAGTATGGAAAATAGAATGAAAAAATAATGGTATTTTTCCACAAACTGTTTGAATCCCTTTTGTATTTGTTGTATACATTCCTAGAAGCAAGGCTTATGGATCAGGGGACAAATAAATTTTATATTTTGATAAAATGACACAGGAATTGAGGCTCAGAATAAATAGAACCAGAATAAATAAATAGAATATATAGAACTAGTCAATGACACTTTCTGAGCCTGTAACCATTCTGTCTTAGGCCTACCTCCCGTCTTCAACAACAGCTTCTTCAAATCTAACATTGTACCTTTCATCCCTCTCCCTTTCCATTACTTTAAAGAGCGCAGGCCATTAAGTGAGAACCCTTTCAACTTCCTGGTCTTCCACCTCACCTATTCTCAAATTTACCAGTATCACTTTTATGTACTCAAATCAGGAGAAGCATTGGCCTTTCACTTATCTAGAACTAATCCTGTTTGTGTTCTAAGTCAAAACTCCATCTAACGTATGTACTCGAATAAGCCGAGTTTTTCTGCACATTTTTAATGCAGTTTTTGTGGTAAAATTAGGTACCTCTGCTGATAACTCGGGTCGGCTTATGCTCGAGTATATACGGTGTTTTCTCAGAAACGCATTTCTGACAACTTAAAATCCCGCCCTCACCTTTTGTTCCTTGCTGGTTTCGCTGGCAGCCTACTCCTTTTTTTTTCTCTTACAATAATAAAATTAGGAGTCCTGGTGGTATAGTGAATACTAATTGGGCTGCGGTCTGCAAGGTCGGCTGTTCAAAACTACCGCTGCTGCTCCCCGGAGCAGGGGAACACAGTTATCTACTCCCATAAACAATTACAGTTTCAGAAATTCACAGCCAGATCTACCTGTACTACAGGGTTGCTGTGAGATCTGCCCTGTCCTAGAGGCATCAACTCAATGACACTGAGATATAAAACCCTTCACAAATGACTTACTCAGTGCTGGACTCGGCATTTTTGTCTGTATCCTTAGCATTTGACCTTACAGACCACTTTATTGAAATTCTCCTTTTTTAACTTGCAGGGTACCAGCCTCTTGATATTCCTTGTTTCTAGGGCTACTTTTCTGTCTTCTTCCTAGACTGCTGTATCTCTGTGTGTGTGTGTAAGTTTTCTTATCTAACTTTGCATACTTCCCAGTATGACTTCATTTACACTTCTCTTGTTGTAGAACTTACACATCTGTCATCTTCAACCTGTTTTTCTCTGAATACTAAATCCATATATTCAGCAGTACACTAGACATCTGTTTGCTTGACACAGTGTTGCCTCAAATACAACATGTGTAAAGTAGAATTCATCCTTGTTTCCCACTACTTAATTCTGCTTCTATTTTCCCTTTAGTCCTGAATGATCCCACTATTTGTCCAAGCAAAAATCCTGAATCTCAGCCTTTGCACATCACCTTCCCAATATTTAGTTCTTTACCAAGTTCTCCCTTTTGGTCTTCCTAAAATATTTCTCAACACTCCCTCCACTCTCATTGGTACTACTGCAATTCAAACTCCCTGGTTGAATCTTGTTTTCTGCTCCTTTCTTACCACAGGAAAACTACACTAGATCTAGCTTCAAAATGGACATTTGCTCTTAGCATTCCATTGCTTTAAATCCTTTCTTGGCTCCCTGTTAGCCATGGGATAAATTCCAGTAATTTTTCCAACCTCCTAAGCATAGAGCCTTGGCACAGTGGCTGCTAACTACAAAGTCAGCAGTTGGAAACCACTAGCTGCTTTTCAGGAGAAAGATGCTCCTTTCTACTCCAGTAAAGATGTACAGTCTTGGAAACCTGCAGGAGCAGACGTATAGGGCCACTATGAGTTAAAATTGACTTGATGGCAGTGAGTTTAAGTGTTATTTGAAGCCTGACATGACACTGCTGAGTAAGCGTTGGACCATTACTGCAAAGTTGGCATTTTAAACCCACCAACTGTTCAGGAGAAAGTTAAGGCTGTCTACTCCCATAAAGATTTTAAAAGCCTTGGGAACTCTATATAGGGTTGTTATGAGTCAGAAGTGATTTGATGGCAGTGGGTTTCAGGTTTTAGACGTGTGACATAAAGGAGCCTTGGTGGTACTGGGGGATAAATGTTAGGCTACTAACTACAAGGTTGGAGGTTCAAACCCATCAGCCACCACACGGATGAGGCTCTCTTTTCCCACAAAGATTTAGTCTCAGAATCTCTTTATAGTGTCGCTATCAGAATTAACTCAATGGCACTAGATTGTTTTTGAGTGGTGTGTGGGGATAGCCAGCCCCCCACAACTAATCACCGGTTCTGTAGGCTCAGTTGTACGATTAAAATATATAAAGTTGTAGTAAAGTCATGGGGAATAGGGAGAAATGGAGTAAAATAAAGAAATCAGACACATTTCATGGTAGCATGCTCACCTCGGCCCCACTTGGTTGCCCAAGTGAGGATGTGGAAGGTGGGAATTACAGGAGTGAGTGAGTGAGATTTATTACTAACCAAGGCTTATATATCTTTTGGAGGCGTGCAAGCCCCCTGATTACAGGTAAAGACATACTTCGTACAGGAAGGGGATGTACAATGGGCATAAGCGTGACAGGAAGGGGATGAGCTAGAGGTGTACACACTAAAGGAAGAGGAGGGACTAGTGGTATATATGTGACAAGAAGGGTAGACCTTAGACTCAATATGGCAGCCTAACCGTGGTCATTCTTGAGTGGGTTTGACCTCCCTGGGCTCCTTCAGGGAAACAATCTACTACTATCCTTATCAGAAGGGAGTGGGCCCTACTTAGGGACAGACTATGCAGTGTGATTGCTTAGATGACTGATAATCCTTAGGGAGAATAACCTCTGACCTACTTTTGTTGACCTCCAAGTGTATAGTCATTTGCCACAGGAAGCAAGCAGCTAAGTTCAGCAAATATTTGGGGGAGACAACTTGGGAGAAGTCTTTGTTTCCCACAAGGGGGGTGAGGGGTGGGGGGGCAGCATGACAGTCATGTTTCTGCTCTCACATAAATTGAACAGCTCTCAACAAGGAAATGCCTTTTTTTTTTCTTTCTGGTGTTGCTGATTTTATTTATTTATTTATTTATTTAGACATTTTATTGGAAATGCTTTTTTGAAGTATTTCATAATCTCACTCTGTCATCAGTACTTTTTCTTTCTCTTTCCTTCTCCCCTCTTACTACTCTTTCAGATAAGCCCTAGCTTGGACTAATAAAACACTTGCTGGGCCAAACTACAAGTACTGTGATTACCTGTCTCTGGATTTCCTGTCTAGGTGTTCTTGCTATGGCACTTACCATGTGTTTGTCACATGCTAATATTTCTTCTCCACTACTAAATTTTATGCCTATTGAAGGGAAAGAACCGTCTCCAGCAAGGAGGATTTACTGTAGGGTCAGATCAAGGAATTTAGTTGATGTGAAATAAAGTGATTTAGCTAAGAGGAGCCCTGTTGGTGTAGTGGGTTACAAGTTGGGCTGCTTATCAAAAACCAGGGAGAAAGAAGGGGCTTTCTACTCCCATAAAAATTTACAGTCTTGAAACCCACAGGGACAGTTCTCTGTCCTTTAGTGTCACTGAGTCAGAATCAAATCAATTGCAGTGATTTGGGTTTTTTTTTAAATCAATTTATTGAGGCTCTTACAATTCATCACAATACATAGATCAATTGTGTAAAGCACATCTATACATTTGTTGCCCTCATTATTCCCAAAATGATTTGGGTTTTTAGCAGCGAGTGGTCAGGTGTTACTATTGACATACAAAAGTGGAGCACAGTTCCTCAGCTCACACAAGATAGTGGCTGGTGTCAGTTTTCCCAAGCCTCTATTTCTTTTTTTTAACCTGGTTGTCACTAGTGTTTATTAGCTATTCTGTTTGGAGGCTTCTTTATAACTTAAAAACTTGCTCCTTTTTCCATAGGTATTTACATAAGGAATCTGCAGAGTCCTGGACAGTTCCCAGATTGGCTGAAGGCTTTAATGTCAGCCCTGATGTGATCCGAAGGGTTTTGAAAAGCAAGTTTGTACCCACATTGGAGCAGAAACTGAAGCAAGATCAAAAAGTTCTTAAGAAAGCTGGGCTTGCCCACTCACTCCAACAGATTCACGCCTCTGGAAATACCACAAAACCCCTCTCTGCAGGCCACTCCGTGTCAGGCTCTCTGCTGATGCCAGGAAGCAAAGACTCACCCACAGGCCAGAGTCACAGCACAGCTTTGAAAGTGTTAGACTCAAACACTCATAGTACAAGTACACGGAGGAGACAGAAGGGAAGAAATGGAGGAGACCGGAGCCTGGAAGGAATAAAGGAGAGCTTTGTGCCTATAGCTGCAGCTGTGAGTCAACCGAAGGGGTTGCAGAAATACTCCACCAGTGATGGAGGGAGTACCAGAGGAACACACAGTCATGGATTGCCAAATGATGAGAAGCTGGAGGAATTGAAAGCAGGCAAGCCAAGTGACCAGAACTTCAGCAGCAAAGTAGTGCAGAGGGGGCAGGAGTTCTTTGACAGCAATGGGAACTTCCTGTATAGACTTTGAGCCAGACCTGCCTTGTGGAGAGATGTGTGGGACAGTTGGGAAGGTGTGCGTGGAGCTGTACCTAGTGTTTTGCTTCTGTATTAGTCACCTTGAAAGAAGTAATGGGCCTGGAATGAGAATAGTAACGAGCTGCTTGTACTGGACTGTTGATAAAGGGCAATGAACTTCAGGGCCAGTATGTAAGGGGCCAAGGTGAATGTTGGGCTGGATACATCTATGATTTTTAGAGCACAGCTTCAGATGTGACCCCTGTGGCTCTTGACTACTTACCCTTCTTGCTTGGGCGCACTTTGTATGTTGAAAACCAGCCTGGGTTGCATGTATTGCCAGTTTGTGTGATAACCTGAAATAGATGTTTGGGAGGAGATGAAAAGTTTGTTTCTGATCTCATTTCCTCCCTAATGAATACTAGCAATTCTGGAACTGTATGGTCAATTATTTGTTTTCTTTATCTGCAAAATAAAGTAAAATGTAGCCGGCTGTTCCTTGCCGTACCTGTGAACCTAGAGAATAAGAGAAGGGTTCTTTCGTTGTTAAAGAACAGGGTTAGAAGAGACCAGAAGAATGCTCAACAAAGTGTTCATTTCAAATTGTCCTACTTGATAATGAATTGGGCCAACTAAAACCTGAACATCTTTCATTTAGTTGCTGGGGCTCTCTACCTACTTTCTAAGGCTTAAAATTGTCTAATTTTATCATTTTCACCAGATTTCTACAAGGATCCCACTAGGGCAGGAAGGAACCTTTTACATATGAAATAGTCTCAAAGAATTTGGGCTGTGCCCAAGGCCACATGGCTGATCTTAAGTGCAGCTTCTAAATCCCAGAATCTAGTAATCTGGCATAATCTATGAGAATTTACTGGTGCTTTTAGGTTACCAGCCAGTCCTATTATAAGTAGACATAGAATGAGATATTCTATATGCCACTAATAATCCCAAGACAGTTTTCAACTGTCTCATTTTAACAATTTGGCAGCAAAAATTATACTTAGAATTTAAATTACATGTAGGATATTAAAAATCTATGAAAACTGACATTCCAGCTTTTTCATTACCTCTTCGTGGATTTTTTTTTTACTAAGGTTATTAACAGTAATTATAACTAATTGCTGTTAACTTGAACATTCATTCATTAAAAATGGAAAGGTCTAATAAGATGTTAACCAAAATCCTATATTTCAGATGTTGGTGATAATGACAGTGGAGGGAGGAATAAGATGTGATTTTTAAAAAATACATAATTTCCCATTTGAACTTTTGGTTTAAGAGGTTGGACTGTTGGATTATTTAAACTTGCATTTCTAAATCCTGCAAATCAGACCTTGGGGTTAGAGAAATTTAGAAACATGAATGTGCTTTCCATATACCTCATTTCCTATCCCTTCTGCTTGCTCAACTTGAATCTTTGCCATGTGACAGTTTTAAGGCTTTTGTGTGTCCCAGTTCTTTGACCCGGATTTTCACATGGCTGGCTCCTTGTTGATCAGGTATTGGATCAAGTATTGCTTTAGTAGACCCTTTGCATGTTTTTACCATCACCACACTCTGTTGTAACTGAAGGGCCTGAAGTTATTCCTGTTTGTCATTACCCGTCCTGCCTCCATAGTAGATCCTATGAGTGGAGAAGGCCTGTGTGCTTATTGCTATAGTCTCAGCTCCTAACATCTCAATGTTGAGTGAAGGAAGTGCTTGAACTTCAACCAGTCTCATGGCAGAAAGTCCTGCTTTTTACCTTCTCAGCCTGCCTATCAGCCTTAGCCCACAAACGGCATCAGAAACCCCCTCGTGGCTGACCTGTTGGCTTTATCCTGTCAATGTGTCTCCAGTCATAAGCCACTGACTTTCTGTGTTGAAACTGCCCCAAGTTGTGGGATGGGCTCATCCCACTCTCTGCTCCACTGGCCCCTGACCTCAGGCAGTCATTTCATGACACAATGGAGGACATCACCACACTGGATGAGGTGAAGCTGCCCTTCTGAGTACAGATGAAGAATCCGATGACTGAGGCAGCAGATAAGATTCTGCCCAAGTTGGAGAGAAGTAGTTATGGGAGGAGGGAGTAGCTCAGAGCAGCATTGTACCCAAGCTCGAGAAGTTGGCAACCTAAAACTGAAGGGACTTAAATCTCTGAACCCTGGACAGGAAACCGCCATCTGGAGGCAACCTTCACCTCATCAGATTCCCACTAAAGGGATGGGTTTGAAACACCACCCCCACCCCCCACCTTAGGGGTGGTTGGTGGTTGTGGATCTCAGTACAGATAACTTGAACAACCTGGGGGTGAGGGATGCAACTCGTGTGTGCACATGTGCGTTCACAAGCTGTCAAAAATCTGCGTATAGTTTCTGATTCTAAACTTTATAGCTCACTGTGGACCAAAAACCTTAACAATAGTTTGTATTTTATATGCCTTATATATTGCACCCATATAGAAGCTGCATTTTTAATACAAGGAAAAGAAGTATTTAACAAAAAGTGCAAGGTTTTCACACCTGGCCTAATTATAACAATGATGAGATTTTCTTTTGTTCAGTGGTCCTTCCACTGGAGTCACTGGTCTTGAAATAGGCATTGCACCAATGAAACATAGAACTTTCCTCTAGTTTTTTAATTCTTTCCCGTCTCCCACCCCCGCCACTATCATGACCCCAATTCTACCCTTCAAATCCGGCTAGACCAGAGCATGTACACTGGTACAGATAAAGAATCCAGGACAGATAAACCCCTCAGGATCAATAATGAGAGTGGCGATACCAGGAGGGGAAGGGGAAGGTTATGGCAGAAAGGGGGACCCAATCACAATGCTCTACCTACCTCTTCCAGGGGGACGGACAAAAGAAAAATAGGTGAAGGGAGACTGGTCGGTATAAGACATGAAAAAAAAATTATATATATATATATATATAAATTATCAAGGGTCCATGGAGGTGGGGGGGTGTGAGCTGATACCAAGGGCTCAAGTAGAAAATTTTGAAAATGATAATGGCAACATGTACAAATGCGCTTGACACAATGGTGGATTGTGATAAGAGCTGTATGAGCCCCCAATAAAATGATTAAAAAAGAAAGAAATAGGCATTGCAACAGCAGACCTCAGTCTATGATACATACCAAGCAATTCAACTTTTTCTTGGAATGTCACGACCACTTCCCGGGAGTACATCCAGTATCACTCATGGCACTTCACAGTCCCATGCTGTAACTTATTCATGATTGACAGTAGTGTAGTCAAAATGAAAATTTGAGAACCATGAGCAATTTACTGCAATACGCAATTTAATGGAGAAACTGCTGTGTGCAGATGATTTACCATCAGATGGTAGTTGAGGGAAGAAAAGTCCAAGTGGACCCCAACCATTCAAACCTGTCTGTACTTTTAACAAACCAAGGCTGTGTCACCTATTGCATATTCCTTCAGTCCTGATACATCCTTTTTTTTTCCACATTCTTATTTATATCGTCCAGCTTCTTAGATTATTTGTTCAGCAGACAGATTGAATAAGTCTGGTGGAAAGTATACAGCCTTGACTAATGCATACCTTCCCTGATTTTAAACCACTCACAATTCCTTAAAGTCTCTTTAAATGGCTGCCTCTGGCTCTGTGTACAGGTCTGCATGAGAACAATTACATGTTCTGGAATTCCCATTCTTTGCGATGTTGTCCTTTGTTTATTATGATCTACATAGTTGAATGCCTTTGCACACACAGGTAAGCAACTTTCTGGTAGCCTGATCTTTTAGCCAAATCCATATGACATCAATGATATCATTTGTTTCACATTCTCTTCTAAATCTAGCTTGAATATTTGGCAGTTCCCCGTTGATGTACTGAAACCAATACTTTTTTGAGTGATTTTCAACATAATTTTACTTGTATGTGATGTTACTGCAATGATAGTTGATAATTCCCACATTCCATTGGTGCTTGATCCAAGCTATGATATTATCAGTCACTTCATACACATGAAAGCTGGATAATGGGAAAGAAGGCAGAAAATGTTTGAGGGGAGACCAGCCCCTAACACTGTCACAGGTTCGTAGGCGCAACTGTCTGGTTAAGATATATAAAGATTCAGAAGCATCAAAGCCCACATGGAAGAAGCACACCAGCCTGTGTGACCACAAGGTGTAAAAGGGACCAGGTATCAGACATCAAAAAACAAAAAATATCAGTGGGTGCCCACCTTCTCGATATGATCACTGAAGACAAATGTGAAGAAAGCTGATGGTGCCTGGCTAGCAAAAGATATAGTGTCTGGGGTCGTAAAGTCTTGAAGATAAAAAGCGGCCATCTAGCTCAGAAGCAACAAAGACCACATGGAAGAAGCACACCAGCCTGTGTGGCCACGAGGTGTCGAAGGGATCAGGTATCAGGCATCAAAGAACAAAAAAATCATATCATTGTAAATGAGGGTGAGTGGAGAGTGGAGACCCAAAGCCCATCTGTAGGCAACTGGACACCGCCTTACTGAAGGGTTGCAGGGAGGAGACGAGTCAGTCAGGTTGCAGGGTAGCAACAATGAAACAAACAACTTTCCTCTAGTTCATAAATGCTTCCTCCCCCCACTATCATGATCCCAATTCTACCTTACAAATCTGGCTAGACCAGAGGATGTACACTGGTACAGATAGGAACTGGATATACAGGGAATTCAGGACAGATGATCCCTTCAGGAACACTGGTCAGAGTGGTGATACCTGGAGGGTGGAGGGAAGGTGGTGTAGAAAGGGTGATCAATATAAAACCTCCTCACTGGGGGATGGACAACAGAAAACTGGGTGAAGGGAGACATCGGACAGTGTAAGATATGACAAAATAGTAATTTATAAATTATCAAGGGTTCAAGAGGCAGGGGGATGTGGGGAAGGAGGGAGGAAAATGAGCTGATACCAAGGATTCAAATAGAAAGCAAACGTTTTGAGAATGATGATGGCAACAAATGTACAAACGTGCTTGACACAATTGATGTATGTATGGATTGTGATAAGAATTGTATGAGCCCCAAATAAAATTATTATTTTTTTAAAGATAAATAAAGATTACGGAAGGGTCGAAGGGAGGAGACGAGCCAGTCAGGGTGCAGTGTGGCAAGATGAAACATACAACTTTCCTCTAGTTCCTAAATGCTTCCTCCCCCTCACACTATCATGATTCCAATTCTACCCTACAAGTCTGGCTAGACCAGAGGATGTACACTGGTACAGCTAGGAACTGGAAACACGGGGAATCCAGGGGAGATAATCCCTTCAGGACTAGTGGTGAGAGTGGGGATACCGGGCGGGTGGGGGGCAAAAGTGGAAGGGATTACAAGGATCTACATATAACTTCCTCCCTGGGGGACAGACAACAGAAAAGTGAGTGAAGGGAGATGTTGGACATTGCAAGATATGACAAAATAATAATTTATTACTTATCAAGGGTTCATGAGGGAGCGGGGAGGGAGGGGGGAAAATGAGGACCTAATGCCAGGGGCTTACGTGGAGAGCAAATGTTTTGGGAATGATGAGGGCAATGAATGTACAAATGTGCTTTACACATTTGATGTATGTATGGATTGTGATAAGAGTTGTATGAGCCCCTAATAAAATGGTCTTTAAAAAAGATATATAAAGATTATAGTAAAGTCAAAGAAGATAGGAGAAAGAGTAAAATAAAGGAGTCAGACACATTTCATGGTAGCATGCTCCCTTCACCCTTCTTGGTGGTCCAAGGTGGTGGAGGAGTGGGAGGAGAAGGCAGGAGAGAGATGGGAGAGGGAAGGAGCAGGAAGTTGGGAGAGGGAAGGAGGACCAGACGAGAGGGCTATTTATTTCTAACCAAGGCTTATATATCTTTTGGGGTGTGCAAGGCTCCTAATTACAAGTAATGACCTACATCACAGGAAGGGGTTGTACTATAAGCATTGCAGCAATGGGAAGGGGACGATCTAGGGGCATACACGTTATAGGAAGAGGAGGGATTAAGGGTACACATGTGGCAAGATGGGCAGATCCTAGATTCATGATGGCTCCTTAACCTTGATTGTCCTTGAGTTGAAGACTTATTCTGAACCCTTCAGGGAAAGCAATCCACTGTCCTAACAGTAGGGAGTGAACCCCACCTATGGCGAGTCAGACAATAGGGTCTGCTTCATCTGGATGGCTGATGCCTTCAGAGAGATAACTTGACAATCATTTACCATTAGTTGTCCGCAGTGTCCTAGATCTGACATATATTTTGGGGGAGAGAAGCTGGGGGAAAGTCTTTTTATATCCCACAAGATGGATTTGAATTTTGTTGGCCATGAATATTAATTATACTATGTACTGCCAGTAGAACTGACAGGTTAGAATCCACTAGCCATTCCTCAGGAGGAAGATGGAACAGTCTACTTCTGTGAAGATTTACAGCCTCAAACGCCCAGCAGTGGTTCTGCTCTGTTCTATACAGTCACTGGGAGTTAAATAGACTTGAAAGCAGTGTGTTTCTTTCCTTTTTGGGGGGGCTGACTTTTAGTGCTATCGTGCTCTGTGATTAAAGTAATGATAAATTACAGCAACCCAATCCTGCCAGGACTTATAATGACCCAGACCCCTCAGGAATGAAGGTCTTGTGTTATATATATTTTTTGGGGGGGGGTGTCCCAAAGAACAAATCTGATTTGGAAGCAGTATAACCAGAATGCCCCTTGAAACCAAGAAGAGCAAGACTTCCGCTACCACTTTGGACATGTTATCAGGATGACTCAAGCCCTGGAGAAGGACATCGTGCTAAGTAGAGGGTCGGCTGAAAAGAGGAAAACTCAGCAAAATGGGTTTATACAGTGGGTTCAAATACAGCAACAACAACAAAGGCAGGTAGGCTGGAAAGTGAGGAAGTGAGCTAAGTGATGCTTTACTGTGGAAATTGCAATCAATGTCATGAGACAAAATATGTATGAATTGTTGAATGAAAAACTGATCTGTGTTGTAAACTTTCACCTAATTCACAATAGAAACAGTGGAGGAGGCTCAATGTAAAATACCAGATCAGCTGTTCTCAACCTGTGGGTCACGACCCCTTTGGGGGTCGAAGGACCCTTTCATAGGGGTCGCCTGATTCATAAGAGTAGCAAAATGACAGTTATGAAGTAGCCACAAAATAATTTTATGGTTTGGGGGGGGTTACCACAACATGAGGAACTGTATTAAAGGGTCGCGGCATTGGGAAGGTTGGGAACCACTGCTCTAGGTGAATTCTTGAACCCTCATAGAGGAACAGAAAGCTTTTCTTTTTTTATTTTGTATTAACCTTATATTAGAACTTTTCAAATAAGTAGTAGATAGCTATAAATCTCTGCATATCCAAATGTGTTAGACAGCATTCTCTAGAAACAAAACCAGATTGCTAGTAATTATATATATATAAATAGATAAATACATCTCCACCCAATTCTTCCTGCCATTCGGTTTCCGCCTCGGAAGGCGTAGTACTTAAGTTCGTGGCTAAGCTTAGTAGCTTTGACCAGTAGACAGTTCTCAGTGATCAAGGGACCTCTAGACTCCGAGTTGGTTTGGTCCATTTCCCGAAGTCCTCGAAAACTGACAACCGCCCAACCCTCGCTTGAGTGAGCTAGGAGAACAACGCGCATCCTTAAGCATCAGTTTAAGGCATCCTTATTTTACAATAAGAAAAGTCCTCTCTGGCCAGGAATGAGACTGGAAATTTGAGTGTTCGGCTCCCGTCGTCAATTGTCCCTCCCAGGACGCCGTCCCTCCTCCGGGTCCTCTGAGGGCTGGTCCCAAGAACGGACTTCCGGGAGTTCCCGGAAGTCGCTTTCCTTCCGCATCGTAGGCGGGCTCTTCTCCCCTCCCGCGGGGAAGCCTGTGCGGGTGGATGCCGGCATCTTGCCGGCGCGCGGCGTGGACCAGGAAAGAACGGGACCGGCCCCCGCGGCTACCGATCAGAGCCGAGGGTCCTCTGATGCCGCGGCTACCCGACCGGGACGTGGCCATTCATTTCGCGTCTGCGACTGCACAGCGAAGACCTTTGCGAGGATTCCTTGGGAGTCCGTGGCCGGACCTGACTCGTTGTCTCCCTGCACTTACCCTGGGCTGCTACTGGCCCCCGAGCAGAAGGCGTCCTCCTCCTTCCACCCCGCAGCCCAGGTGACCGCTGCCATGGCTTTTCACCTTCGGCCGGATGCCCCAGAGCTACCTGATTTCTCCATGCTCAAGAGACTGGCACGAGACCAGCTCATCTATCTGCTGGAGCAGGTCAGTGCCCGCCACACCCGGCGCCTGCACTGCATCCACAATAGGGCATTCGCGGGGATTTGTGGGGCCAAGATTTGGGACCTCTGAAGTCCTTTAAGATCACTGTGAGTCGCAAGCCACTCCACACAATGGGTTTGGGTTTCGGTGGTTTGTGTATGTGTTTCTTTGAGGAGCCCCGTTGGCCCTTGGTGTCGCCCTTGGAACTTCTGCTGCAGGTTCGGAGCACGGAAACCAGTAAGAGCTGCTGGGGACGTAGCCGAAGGGCTCATGGAAATCCATTTTTTTCATGAAGGTCAAGTCTGGCACTTGGCAGAGTGCCTGACCGCCTGGGGATGCAAAGCTAGTTAAGACAGTTTCTTTGTCATTAGGGATCTTAGAGTCCAGTAGGAGCCAGATGAAATGCAAATTACACAGGTATCCTGTGGTGCATGAGCTGAGGCCAGGATGCCTTAAGAGTTCAGAATAGGGAGGGGGAGCGGCGGAGGGGAAAAGTGAGGAGCTGTTACCAAGGGCTCAAGTAGAAAGCACATGTTTTGAGAATGATGATGGCAACAAATGAAAAGTGTAGAGAAATGGGTTTGGTGAGGGAAAGTGTTAGTTTGGATTTACATAGGTGAAGGTGGGAGGGATGCCAGTGGGAAATGTAGTTCAGAGCATCCAGCAGATAGAACTGTAGAGCTGCCGCTCTAATGTTTTGTTCCTCTTTGAAATGGGCTTCAACAGTGATGTGCACATAAAAGGCATTAAACAAAAGTCTGAGGAGTTGCTAGCTCAGATGAGAGCAACATGAGGAGCTATGATGAGACCAAGGCCTCTCACACGCTCACTGCCATGGAGTCAGAGCGACCCTCCAGGACAGAGCCGAACTGCTCCTGCGGGTTTCTGAGGACCAGAAAGCTTCATCATTCGCTGTAGGCCAGAGGGAGTACTTGAGTGGAGGCCCAATATCCATCTGGTACCTTCGTACTAAACCTATAAATATAGGCACATAGATTTGTTTCCTCCTCATCATAAATAAATATATTTGCATATGTGCATGCCTTTATTTAGACCTCTATAAATGCCCTTTGCCTACTAGTTCTTTCCTCTAATTCCTTTTACTTTCCTCTTGCCCCACTATCATGCTTAGCCTTCATTTGGGTTTCAGTAATTCTCGGTTACATTACCCTTACTCAAGCCCTACCAGGCCTCCTACATCCTCCTCGTCACCGGTTTTGGATCTCTTGTTCCCTTGGCCCTGAGTTTGTTAACAACACTTCCTTCCCTGTGCACCCCCCCACTCCCTTGTCCCCACCAGTCAGCCTGGTTGTTTTCTCCTCCAGATTGTTTATGCAGGTGTGCTCCCTTCTTGATTCGCTCCATTTGGGGGGGAAATATCCTAACTTCTGACTTGATTTTTCCCCGACTTAATTCTTGTTAAAGGCATTGCCATTCCGTCTTACAACCTGAGAATCATGCCCTCCCCCTCCAGCACTTCACCCGTTGCTGAGTCTCTTTTCAGGATTACCAAGGAACACGTGCACATTATAGGAAATTTAGAAGATAGTGAAAACCTAAAGAAAAAATAATAACTTTACACCATAACACCAGATACAACCCCTGTTAATTTCCTTCAGGTATTTAAAAATTGCAGTACATATTCTATGTAGCTGTGAAATAATCTATTTCCCCTCACACTCTCACTAGTCTAAATCAAGTCCTCATTCAATGCCACAGGCTGGGACTGTTACATTCATTAACCCCTGGTGGTGTAGTGGTTACACATTGGGTTGTGATCTCCATGCTCGGCAGTTTGAAACCACTAGCAGCTCCTCGGGAGAAAGACTGGGCTTTCTACTCCTGTAAACAGTGACTGTCTCAGAATCCCACAGGGGTTGCTGTGAGTCTGCACTGACTTGATAGTTTCTTTTTCTTGTTGCAATGTGTAGATTTCTTTCACTACAATCAATAGTAATACATGTATATCAGGGTGGGGGTTAAAACATAAACCCTTCTCTCCCTCTCTGCACAGGTACCTTCTACAGGAGGGGCTCCACTCAGCAACCAAAGGTGTAAAAGAATCACGCCTTCAAAGCTTTTAAGCAGTAAAGAAAATATTAAGAGTCAATGTTACCTGTCTGGGGTAGATGCTGTTTCAGCGTCTTTCAAGGAAGGTCATTGGTTCGGGGGACTGTGGTCAGGAACACTTCTTTTTTCTTTTTTTAAACAGTTTTATTGGCACTTCATCCACATCATACAATTCACTAGTTCAGTCATATCAACAAGAGTTGTATAATCATTACCACAGTCAATATAGAACCTGTTCTTCCTTGTCCTCATGTTATCCATGTAACTATTATTTATAATTGTGATAAAAATATATATAACAAAACATTCTCCAATTCAACAACGTCTGCATGTATAATTCAGTGCCATTGCTTATACTCTTTGTGTTGTACAACCACTATTGATAGCCTTTTCCAAATCATTGCACCACCATTAACATAAACTCAGCATCCCCTAAACAAAAGCTCTTCCTCCTTCACCCATGGTAACTATAGGTCAAGTTTGGTTTCTTTCTTTCTTTTTTAATTTTATTGATAAAATATTCACATATCATACACTTCCATCATGAAATCGCTTTTAAAAAGCGTTGTATACCCCTTTCTGAAGGGTCGCCGGGAGGAGACGAGTCAGTCGGTACAGGGTAGCAACGATGAAACATACAACTTTCCTCTAGTTCTTAAATGCTTCCTCCCTCCACTATCATGATCCCAATTCTACCTTACAAATCTGGCTAGACCAGAGAATGCACATTGGTACAGATAGGAACTGGAAACACAGGGAATCCAGGACAGATGATGCTTTCAGGACCAGTGGTGAGAGTGGAGATACCTGGAGGGTGGAGGGAAGGTGAGGTAGAAAGGGGGAACCGATTACAAGGATCTACATATAACCTCTTCACTGGGGGATGGACAACAGAAAAGTGGGTGAAGGGAGACGTCGGACAGTGTAAAATATGACAAAGTAATAATAATTTATAAAATATCAAGGGTTCATGAAGGAGGGGGAAGCAGGAAGGGAGGGGGGGGAAATGATGAGCTGATATCAAGGGCTCAAGTAGGAAACACATGTTTTGAGAGTGATGATGGCAACAAATGTACAAATGTGCTTGACACAATGGATGCATGTATGGACTGTGATAAGAATTCACAAGCCCCCAGTACAATGATTTTTTTTTAAAGTGTATATACATCATCATAATTAGTTCTCAGGTTCCACCCCCACACACACACACATTCACGGTTTGCTCTCCAATCCTCCCCTGCCCCTTCCCCTTGAGTTTGGTGAACTCCTGCCTCCAGCTTTTCATTCCTCCAGTTCATTTCTGACACAGTAGTCAGATTCACCTAACAAAAACACCCAGCTGTTGGGAATGTGTCCCTGTACCAAAGCCTTGTTTTCTGTGTTCCGCAGAGGATCAAGTCGAACCCCCGGGCTGGGGCTGGCGGTTGAGGCCTGCCCTGCTCTAGTCCGCTGTTTCCCATTATTCCCCACCAGCCCGCTACATCAGGACTTCTCCACCTCAGCATGATTGGAATTTTGTGGGGGATAATGCTTCGTTTGGAGGGTACATTGTAGGATGTGGAGCAGCTCCTCCAGGCCAAATGTGTCTCCAGACTTTGCCAAATATCACGGGGGGAGCCGGTGTGCGGGTTGCCTCTGGCTGAGAACCAAGATGCTCTGTGTGCTTGATGCATCAGCCCTACTCGATTGTTTGTGGCCCCTCCGAATGGGCCCATTCTTGTTCCCTGGCCTTTGTTGTTACTGCCATCTTATTATATCCCTGTCAATCCCCTCTCCGTGTGTCAAGGCCTAATTGAGAGGACACTTCCACCCTGTCACTGGGTGTGCCCTGTGGGGGGAGGTCAGATGCGCAGGCATTCCCCCACTGAGGGCAATCAGTTGCCAGACTGCTGTCTCATCCCACCACAGGGTAGGCCTGCTTCCTGCCTCTGGGGACAATGGACAGGCTCCTGTAGGTGGAGTTGTCATCCTACTGATAAAGTTCCTATGGAGACCCAGAGACCATCCCCGAGACCACCCTCTCATTGCTGTGTAACCTATAGTGCAGCTCCTCCCTGTGACGTATGTCTCTGCCTGTAATTAGTGGGCTGGCATGCCCCCAAAAGATATATAGGCGTGGGTCAGCAATAGAGATCTCTCTGACTCTGAGCTCCTTGCTGCTCACTCCCTGGTCACTCCCCTCTCCCTTGTTCCCTTTCCCTCCTTCCCTTCCCCCTCTCTCCATGTGGACCACCAAGCGGGGCTGAGGTGAGCAATGCTACCATGTAATATGTCTGACTGTATTATTGTATTATCTCTCATGCTCTTGATGACTTTAATATAATGCTTATATATCTCAACCGTACAATTGTGCATTACTGAACCCAGAAGTAGTATTACTGAACCCGCGAGCAGCGGGTGGGGCTGGCACCCCACCCCCCTGTGCCAGCATTTTTAATTTAATACTACAGTGCCCTCTTCTCCCGCAGAACAGAGGAGAGAGCAGTGTCCCGAGTGATGACGCAGGGATCAGATGATAGAGGGAGTGGGAGAGTGAAAAAAAGGATTATTTGCATCAAGCCTAGTTATTTTTGTCATGAGAAAAAAAAATCGCTGCCAAGAGATATTTAGTAGTACATTGAGGAGGTTGCAACCCACAGGGTGAGGTCTGGTTTGGTTTGGCTTTGTTCACCAGGGAATGTTGGGAGGACCAGGAGAGGAGGCTGCAGAGAAGAGGAGCCCAAGTCGCGCAAGGTCACGGTTGCATGGACAAGCACTGCTGGCGCAGCTCACCCTCAGAAAGGATGAGGGGTAGCTTCCCTCTGGTGGCTATCCAGAGAAATGTCAATACAAAGGCTGTGCAGTGTGGTGTGGGCGCGTACATTGGGTTGGGCTGGGCTAGGCTATGGGTGGCTAGTGCCCTCCCAGCTCAGAAACGGATTCTATTAAATGGGTGGCAGGAGGCATTCTCAGTTGAGGGAGTATTTGTGACCTCGGAGTGATACAATGTGCTGTTTCTCCTTCAGCTTCCTGGAAAAAAAGACTTGTTCATCGAGGCAGATCTGATGAGCCCTTTGGATCGAATCGCCAGTGTCTCCATCCTGAAGGTACTTGCCCCCTTTCCCAGATGGACTCATGCCCTTCTGTCGTCTTTGATTAGTAGGTTGGGTTGTTTTCTTTTCTTGATAGACAGTTGAAATTACTGAAGAGTGACAGCCTTTATGGTAAATATGTTAGGTTTCTGGAGTCAGTAATCCCTCGGTTCTTGGCTGCGCACAATGAAAGAATTCACGCCGAAGACCGTTTTGTAATCCAAGTGGGTTTTTAGGAAGGACAGGACAAGTTTCAGGTTTTACAGTCTCAGAGGGGTTCACACCTGGGCCCGAACAACCACGTGGAAAAGAGCACCCACACGTCCGGATCTTCGGGGAGATCCCAGGAGGCCAGAAGCCCAAGAACCCCAGAGGCTGAGAGCATGTGGGCCCGGAGCAGACCCATGTGTGCCCGTGCAGGGGAGGGAGACCCTCCCCCTGTACCTGCCTCTGAACAGGAGTAGGGTAAGAGAGCTTCCCAGGGTGTACTCCCCGCCTTATTCTAGCCCACCCCCTGGCTGGGGGAAGGCGTGGCTGATGGTATTGTTTGACCCCAATGGCTGAGTTAGGCCCACCTGGGTGATGTCGTGAGCCCTGGCCTAGTTTGGGTCACCCAGGTATACCATTCACGTGGCTTGTGGCTCGGGGGTTTGAGTACAAGCATGCTCAGTTTTGGGTTTTCATAGGTGTCTAATGGTTGCCTGATTTATTTCCAACCTCCTCTATGGGGGCCTTTGCAGGCATGGGAGGGACAACCCCCTACCTGTAAGCTAGCTACCTAACAAATATAACTGAATTGGGTGGGCAATCCCCTAAGGGGGATTGATGCCCTTAGGGTAAGGTGACCAGACGTCCTGCTTTTGGCAGGACAGTCCCGATTTTTAACAATTTTTCCCATGTCCCACGGTGTTTTAAAAAAGTCCCGATTTTTGGAAAGCATGCACGACAAGCTAGGGTATATGGTTTTCGGCTGCCATGTGGCTATTTTGCCAGGATATGAGTTTTATCAATGGTGTCCCGCTTTACCAATGTTAAAATCTGGTCACCTTACTGTAGGATTTTTTGGGCTTACTTATAGACAGTAAGTCAATACTAGGTTGGTTGTCAGAGGAAAGTTTGATTCCTAGACTTGGCATAAACAGGAGGCCAGTATAGAAGTTCTCTCTCCAGCATTGTACTGAGCAGGCACTCTTATATCTGTCATATTGTTGGGTTCTTTCTGTAGCAACACGAAGTGGACAAACTGTACAAAGTCGAGATCAACAAGCCCGTCCTCAGCTCCAGCGAACAGTGAGTGTCTGGGAGAGTGTCTCTCAGTTCCACATATTTCCTTTGATCTGGACCCTGGCTAAGATATGGTCTCTTGTGTTTGCGACACAGTTCACTTCCCTGAACTTGTACAGTTCCTGTCTTGCTGTGGTTTTAGCCTCTTGTCTTAATAGAAAGACCACAGTAGGGGTTCCAACAAACAGCGTTTTATGGTCTCACAATTTAAGAGGTTAAAAGTTGGAATTCAGGGCCCCAGTGCTAGGGGAAGGCTTTCTTTCTCTGTCAGCTCTGGGACAGCTTCTTATTTTTTGGCTCCTGGGAGATTTCCAGGACCATCTGTGCTTTCCTGCTGCTTGCTTAATCTGCTATAGCTCAAAAGAGAGTGACTTAAAACACACCCCGCATTAACATGAACATGTGCCCTAAACATAACAAAGAAAGCCCAGCCTCCAGATGAGATTATAACCACAGGTACTGGGGCTCGGATATGCAATACATATTTGGGGATGCATAATTCAATCCATAACATCTCTTGATTCGTCTCTCTGCAGTTTTTTCTATCCTTATCCCCTTCCTTCTTTAATCCAATCTATAGTTTTTAACCAGATCGACATTTCGAAGGCATTTTTAGCCTGTTCTTTTCAAGAACCTTCTAGGCTTCCCATCATTTACCAAGCAAAATCCAAACTGCTCATGATAGATTTCCCAAGCTCTCCGCGTGACCTTACCCCATCTTTCCTGCCTTGTCTCCCGGGTGCTCCCCTTTAGGCCTCCACAGTGTGCAGTGTGTCTTTGCCCTCTGGAGCAGGCCACTCACTTACCTGGCATTCTCTCCTGCGCTCCCTGTTCTTGTCCATGCCCTTGCCTCCGCGCTCAGCCCCACTGCCACCATGAGGCTCTCTGTTGCCTTTCCAGCCCAGGGCGTTTCCCTCGAGAGTGCCCTGGTGTTCAATATTCGTCCTTCTCATCGCACACAGTCATCTTCTGCTCATGCTATCTGGCTTCATTGCTGTTGGTTTTTTTTTAACATTTCTCTTGGGAAAAAACTATCTTGGGTAGATCTATGGAGAAAATATCCATGGATCTGTTAGAAAGAACATTATTTTATATTACTTTTTTTAGCACTTGATTATTAACTACACCACACAAATGTGCATCATGTTTTTCCATTGGCTTGAAAATGATTAGAGAGCAGGCACTTCTGGGTCCTTGGTACAATACCGCACAACTCACTGACACTGAGCCAGTTCCGACTCACCGTGCCAGTGAGTTCTCCCCGCTCGCGCACACAGTTGAACTCTGGGATCGCTTCCCTGGCTGGCAGGACAAGGGAGCTGGCATAGCTTAGGGTAGGATGAGGCTTGCAGACCCTGTCAAGAAGGGCCAACAGTGAACGAGTTGCTCTTGTTTCTGTGTCTTCTAAGCTGCTGTCACTGCACTTTTTGTTTTGGCTTGGTTTTCCTTCTCTCCCGCAGGCTGTGCTTCTTGGTCAGACCCCGCATAAAGAACATGCGCTACATTGCCCGTGAGTATGCCACAGCACTCTGCTGAAGCCAAAACCTGGGGCAGGGCGGGCACCGGTGGAGGAGATCGCATGCTGTGCGCTCTCTGAGCTGCATTTGTTCTCTCTGTAGATCTTGTCAATACGGACAAATTGGCTGGTCGGACTAGAAAATACAAAGTGATCTTCAGCCCTCAGAAGGTGAGTTTGGATCCTGGGCCGGGTAGGAGAAGGTAGACCTGGGTTGAAGACCAGGAAGGGGTGTGGAGGCAACAGCTCTAACTCCCTCAAAGCAAATATATACTCGAGTATAAGCCAACCCGAATATCAGCCGAGGCACCTCATTTTACCACAAAACGGCATTAAAAATGTGCTGAAAAGCTTGGCTTATATAATGTATGTATGCCTGGAAAAAGCAACATGCTCTGTCTTTTCACTAATAGATCCCTGATTGCTTAGCAGGTGTCCGTCATCATCCCATCCTGACCCCAAGCACAGTACCGTGGAATGTGAGGGCTGGCCTCGACATAGATTGCTTTCAGGGAACGGACTATCACTTTTGAAGCAGACCTCGCCACAGGTCTCTTCTCACACAGATAGCTGAGTAGGAACAGTGCACGATGTTAGGACTTACCCGTGACTCTCTCCCCGCATCAGGAGTTCTTTAATAGCAGAATAGTGTCACCATCACATTCACACTCACACTTACCCCCCTACACATGCTTATCCAAGGGACCTGGCCAGCCTGCCCTTAGGTTATGAGGACTGTACCAACATTTTGTTTTGTTTCCTTTGAACTTTTTATTATGAAGGTTTAGAGCAGATCTGAGTTTTGCATTCAACAATTTATACACATTTTGTTTCAACTCATCCTTTTTAATCCTCTCCGTGTGCATATCCCACTGTTTCCATTCCTCCTGGTTTTCTTAACTCTCTGTCCCTAGGTAAATGTTGCCCTTGGCCTTATGTGGTTGATTATTTTATAAGAGACAAGTTTAATTTAGTTCTAGGACCTGGGGGGGTGACTGAAGGCCATGGTCTGGAAGGCCCTTCCAGTCTCTATCAGAGCAATAGAATAGGTCTGCTCTCTTATGATTTTGAAGTTTGTTCCACATTTTTCTTCCTTTCTAAGTAGTGTGGGGGAAAGGAGGGCCCCCAACAAATCATCGCTGGTCTGGTAGGCGCAATTGTCGGCGATAATAAGTACAGATTACAGTGAAGTCATGGAGAGCATGAGAGAGAGGAGGGAGATTGAAGTCATGGAGTCAGACACACTTCATGGTGGCATGCTCGCCTCAGCCCTGCTTGGTGGTCCTCGTGGGGAGAGCCCGGGAGCGAGAGCAGGAGAGCCTCAAACTCTGTTCTCACCATGGGTTATCCCTGCTTAGGGGGGCGTGATTACAGGTAGCCACACGTCACAGGAAGGGGCAGTACAATAGGCATACACATACAGGAAGGGGTTGTATGATAGGCATAAGCGTGACAGGAAGAACATGAGCAAGGGGTGTGCACATAGGAATGGGAGGGACTACAGGTATACATGTGACAAGATGGGTGGACCCTTAGATTCATGGTGGCAGCCGAACCTTGGTCACCCTTGGGTGGGCTTGACCTCTCTGGGGTCTCCTACAAGGAAACAGTCAACTACTATCCTTATCAGAAGGGAGTGGGTCCTACTTGTTGTGGGATAAGCAGTGGTGACTGCTTGCTCTAGATGGCTACATGGTTATTTTCTGTACATTGAAAGCTGTCAAGACAAACTTAATGACCAAATTAATATAGCTAAGCCAAAAGTTCAGGGTTTTGGTAGGCATTTTGAATCTAGGCTCAGAGGATAAAGTCCCCCTAAGCCCCGTGAGCTATTGGAGGGAGGTACGAGAGGGGCTGGATGTCGCAGCGGGAAGACAGAGCCAGTAGGAGTGTCCACTTCTGTAGGGAGATAGAATCAACTATGTGCTCACTTTAAGGCAGCACAGCTTCAGGGAAGAAACTGTGGAAATGATAGACTACCGCAGGAAAACGTACTTGGACTATATCTCCAACGACCAGAGTGGCGGTCTTCCTGCCATGGAACACTAGTCTTCCAGATTCCCTCCGTACCAGTCAGGGAATAAGTCCCAGTCCTATTTCCCTCAGTGCTAGTTCTCCACATTTCCCCTTTCTGCGTTAAGTTTAAGATTTAATAGTGTCACGGAGGCAACATGGTCTCTCTTCATATCTCTTAGCTTCCTATAGAAGTGACACAAGACTGCAAGCATCACAATTATGATGATAAACAACACAGTCAGCCTGGAACTTAAGCTATGTGAAGTACTTTTAACCCAAGCGTGGGGGATCCAGCCTCTTTCATTGCCATCCACCATTTGTTTAATTACCTCAGCTAGTGCAGTGCCTTAAAGTAGGACCTAGTCATGTGATCCTTTTCAGAGCAGTTGGTCGTGTTAGCTGGACACCAACTAGTTCTTCTGGTCTCCAGATTATGGAGACGGGGTTTGCATGGGCCATGAGTCCATTGGACTAATTGTTTCCATGTCCCTTTTGATTTTCCTCACTCTTCTTCCCTCCAGATGAGCAGACACTAACTGACACCTTAGATAGATGCTCATGAGTTTTGTTAAGACCCTCGTTACTGTTCATCAAAGTAAGATGTAGAGCATTGTCTTTATGGGCTATGTTATGCCAGCTGACCTTGGTGTGCTCTGAGACCCCCATCGGCATTTTGGAAGAACCTGTTCTTACACGAGAGGAACCTTTGAGACCATTTTATTCTCCTCTAGCTTTGAGCAGATGAGGGAAATGAATCATGTCACACTGTGGTTTCACAGACAAGGTTAGGTGTTTCCTCCCTCTCCTTCAGTGACTCCTGAGATGATTGGTGATCTGTCATACCATCTCAGTTTCTTGGGTCCATTCACCGCCCCTCCCAAGTCCACAGCTGCCACATGCATTCTCAGTCTCATTGATGGAAGGAATGGTGTTCCAGGCTCTTACCCTGCAACCGTAGAGCTGTAAAGCTAGACCAAAGAGTGCATGCCACGCTTAGAGCAGGTAGAAATTAAAGCACAAAGATTTACTGCTCGTCAATTTTTCTAAGGAAATAGAAACAGCAGCTCAGACTGAAGACTTTAAAGTCAGCCTGCCTGGGTGTGGATCCTTGCATAATTTTCATCACCTGTGTGATCTTGGATAAGTTACTTAACTGCGCTGGTTTGTTTTTTTACTCTATGAATTGGAGTGGTAACGCGACTTATCCCCTAATTTCAATATGACTTAGTCTCTGTTTAAAAACAAAGTTAGTAGACTCAGAAGCTCCTATTATTTCTTCATCATGGAGAAGGAAGCAGAGGAAAGAGGTAACATGTATCTTTGAAGGTCGTTTGACGATTGATAAAAACAATGGCACAAATATTTGTGCTATTTAAGAAAGCAGAAATATGTGTTAATAACATGATTACTTGGGCAAGAAGCTATTCAGTAAGATAGCCAGTCAGAAAATGCAGGTCACAGTTGAGTGTAGTTAAATGAGCCATGGCGATAATTTCTCAAGGGTGTGGAATCTGACAAAACCACCACCACCACCTTTTTCCTCCCAAATTCTCCTTGCAGCAAATTTGTATTACCAAGGGACAGACAGCTATACTCACTTTGAAGGCTCCTACAAATCTCCATGCTACACAGAAAAACAAAATTAATACTATAAGTGTTCTCCACTTACTATTCAGTCTAATCAGTCTTTGACCTAATTGTATGTCACAGGAAGGCCCCTCCAGTCGCTTCTGAGAAGGGGAGGCATCTCCATGATCTCTACCGGAGGGTGTCTTTGCTAATTTTGAGTATGGGACATTTTTAGATAAGTTTCTGGACTTACCATTAAAAGTAAAAAGCATTTGGAATGATGGTGATGGTTGAACAACATGAGCATATTTAATGTTACTAAACTCCATATGTCAAGATCATTGAACTAGGGGGGGAAAGGAAGTTAAAAGCGGTAAAATGAGGGAGGGAGGGATAAATAAGTCGGATTCTCCTGTTAGCAGTAAGGTGAGGCACACATCGCATTCATCCTTCACACCGCCGCGTCAGTGTGAATGAAAACAAGCTGTCCTGATAGAGCACTGGGAACAATGTCTAGCATGTACTTTCCAACTCAGGGCCATCGAGTGGATTGTGATTCAGAGCGACCTTATAGGACAGCGTAGAAGTACCACTGTGGGTTTCCCAGGCTATAAATCTGTCTGGGAGGAGAAAGCCTCCTCGTCTTCCTTCCATGGAGAGCTGGTGGTTTTGAACTGCTGACCTTATAGTTAGCAGCCCAAACACTTAATCTACTACCCCTAAGTGATTAATACGCACTGGTTACAAGTTGGGTTACAATCTGCAAGGTCCAATGTTCAAAACCACCAGCCATTTGAGGGAGAAAGACAGTATTTCTTCCATAAATAGTTAACAGTCTTGGAAACTTGCAAAAGCGGTTCTACCCTGTCCTATAGGGTTGCTGTAAGTTGGCATCGACTGAATGGCAGTGAGTTTTTTTGTTTGTTTGTTTATTATTGTTGCCAAAAGACTCAGGTGGTGCAAAGGGCTAAGTACCGGGCTGTTAACTGCAAAGTCCGTAGTTCAAACTCACTCGCTGCTCCGTGGGAGAAGGGGAGGCCATGTGCTTCCGTAAAGATGGACAGTATCATCTGCAGATATGAAAAGGAAAATGAGGGCGGAGCTGAGGGATGTTCGTGGCCCCTTCTGGCTCAGAGTCGGGGTCCAGCAATCATTACGTTCCCATCCTGGATCACCGATGAACTCCAGAGAAAGAAGAACAGAGAAAAAAGCGGTCACTTATCAACTTGCTTTTCCCTTTTCAGTTTTATGCATGTGAGATGGTGCTTGAGGAAGAGGGAATCTATGGAGGTGAGAAGAGATGAATGTGAGTGGAACATATGGGAAGAAGGAAAGAATTGTGGCCTGGCGTCTTTTCCTTGTCTTGTTCTTGTTGATCTCGCAGGAAGAGAGAGGCCCCTGGGACTTGGGATGGGAATGGGACTCCAAAGGAGAACATTAGTGGCACAGTGTAAAGGGACCCCCCAGCTTGTAGTTGGAAATGACCAGCTGCTCTATCCTCACCTTCCAAGACGCCCACGAGGGAGACTGTGTCTTCCCTCCACTTTGTGCTTTCCTCACTCCATTCTCCAGCGGCTCCGCCTGAGCCCAGGACTCCCGCCTGCCAGTGCCGCTGGGGCTCAGAGGGAGCCCGGAATCCTCAACCAGGCCACACTACACCCCACCCCCTGTCCTTTCCTGTTCTCCATTCCTCTGACTTGCTAGCCACAGGGACTTTACATGCGCTGTTCCTACTACCTGCATGTTCCCACCCCTACCACTTTTTGCCAACCCAAATCTTACGGAAATTCTAAGCTTAAATGTCACCCATTTATGGAAGTCTTTCCTTTATCTGTAGCTGAGGTTAGAGTAGTCCTATAATATAGGTATGCGTCGTCGCTTAACATCTGTTGGAGCACTTTCTGACTACGTACATATATGTCCCTGGCCCCATAAGGTTTTGGTTTTTCTCGTAAAGGGAAAGTATTTCTTTTGTTTACTGTGAACCCCCGATGGTTTTAAAGACCCCCACCCCCAGGCTCTTGCAGCATGGGACCACTGACAGGGGAGGCACAGGATATGTCACTCAGTGGCGGGCTCTTGACCTTTGTTAAGCGAGCAGGTGGGCCGAACAGACGGTGGGACTAGGTGTGCTCTCCTCCCTCCCTGCCGGCTTCCTCTCCCTCTGCTCCCACAGCCCCCACGCCCCGTGCCTCTGGCCTCTCAGCAGCTCAGCCGGTCCAGGAGCAGCAGTGAGAGTGATTGAAAGCAGGCTCCCATAATATTTTTTTTGTTCGTTTGTTTTATTGGCACATAATCCACAAATCATACAACAGCTCAATCATGTCCAGAAGAGTCGTACAGTTATCACCACAATCAGTCTTCGATCCCATAACATTTTAATATAGACCTTGCACAACATCCAAATCACATAACGCCCGGTTCACAGACTGTTAAGGGACACATATTTGTACTTGCACTTCTGACTTATTTTTCCCTATCCTGGAGCACAGCTGTCATAAAAGAGTTTGTGTAAGAAGACTGTCTGTCTTTATCTGTGAGCGCTCAGTGCTTAGTGCAGCCCCTAGGGGCCTGTGATAGCCACTCATTTGTTGCATGCGCCTGCTGGCCTCCCTTCTGAGTGCCTCCTGCCAGGACACTGATGCTGTCTGTACCCACAGATGTGAGCTGCGACGAGTGGGCCTTCTCCTTGTTGCCTCTTGATGTTGATCTGCTGAGCATGGAGCTGCCAGAATTTTTCAGGGACTACTTCCTGGTGAATGCAGGACCCTTGGGTCTTGGTCTCAAGGGGTGTGGGGAGGAAGCATGGGTCCAGTGGCCTAGAAATATTGAGTTAATCTTTGTCTAACACATGCAATTTGGGTGGCTGTGGTTTGGTGATTGGGAGAGAGATGTGGCTTCCTACTCTGGTAAAGAGTTGCCGTGTTAGAAGCCCACTGGGGGGGGGGGCGGGGCGGTCCTGAATGGTTGGAAACAACTGAGTGGTTGTTGGAGCGGTTTGGTGATTGAGTGCTGCTGATGGTCGATGTCCCTAGGATGGCCTCGGGACAAACAAAATGAACTCCCCAGCATTCCCCAACCCTGCCCTCCCTGCTCCAGGGTTTCCAGGGCTAGCTCTGGCCCAGGTGGGCCTGTTGGCTTGATCTGTGTGTGTGGGGGGCCCTGTAGGAAGGAGATCAGCGGTGGATCAACACGGTGGCACAAGCCTTGCACCTTCTGAGCACTCTCTACGGGTCTTTTCCCAACTGCTATGGAATTGGTCGATGCGCTAAGGTAAGACCACTGTCCCTTGTCCCGGTAACCCTATTTCTTCAGTTCAGTGCCCACTAAGGGCTGTCCATGGGCATCTAAGGAAAATCCTGCTTTTATTATTCTGAAAAAATTCCTCTTAGAGAAAAAATGTGTGTGGCTAATGGACAGGCAGGCACCCAGGCCTCCTGGCTAGCCTTCCTAAGTCTCTCGGTGTCTGGGCGGCAAGGGTAGTGCCCACTCTCCATGGCACAGGAACACGTACGTGGGAGCTGAGTGGCGTTAATAGCTAGCTCCCCTCTTGGGGGCAAGGAGAAGGATTGCGTGGAAGGGACTGGCTTCCTTGGCATGGGGCTATAGTAGGGACCTGGACACCAGATTGAGAATTTCTTGGGCCCTGGCAGATGTCATATGAATTGTGGAGGACCCTGGAAGAGGAGGAGGAGGGTGAAACCAAGAGCCGAAGGCCAGAAATTGGACATATCTTTTTCCTGGACAGAGGTACAGTTAAGCCCACTACTCCTCTCATCGTTGGGCCTTAGAAGCTCTAGGTGTCTAGGGAAGGTGGTGGCAAGGGTGGGAGGTACAGTTGAAGGTGCGCTGACTAGGAGCACGGGGACTTGGCCCTGGAGAGCAGAGGAGGAGAAGGCTGGCTCAGGAAGCGCCTTCATGGTCGGGGTCTGGGTTTCAGACATGGACTTCGTGACGGCGCTTTGCTCCCAAGTGGTTTACGAGGGCCTGGTGGACGACACCTTCCGCATCAAGTGTGGTACGTGGCGTGTCGCGGCTGCTTCTGCGACCCAGGGAGATGAAAACCTCGTCAGCTCCTGACGCTTCTCACAGGGGTGGGGGTGGGGCACCCCGACTCGGAGCCCACGGCTGGCTTCCAGATAGCTGTGGGGACCTTTCAAGGCAGTTCAGGGGAAGGGGCAGGAGGTCTCATTGGAGAGGCTGAAAGCTATCCCTTCTACTCTCCAAGGGAGCGTCGACTTTGGCCCAGAAGTCACGTCCTCTGACAAGAGCCTGAAGGTGCTGCTCAATGCGGAGGACAAGGTGAGGCAGTGGGTGCTAGCAGTGACTTTACCTAGGGGCACTGCTGTTTGAGGAGCCTGGCCGGGTAATGGTTGTGCACTGGGCTGCGATCCACAAGGTCAGCAGTTCAAAACCACCAGCCGCTCTTTGGGAGAAAGATGGGCTTTCTACTCCTGTAAAGAGTTCCAGGGCTGGAAACCCACAGGCGCAGTTCTCCCCTTTGCTGTAGGGTGGCTGTGAGTCGGCATTGCCTCGATGGATACAGGAGGCTGGGGCTCGTCAGCTCTAGGGTAGGAGGCTGAGCCCCTCCGTTAACAGCCCACCTCAAAGCACATAGCCCTCAGGCAATTCTGATTCTTAGTGCCCCTAAGGGGCTGCAGAATTTGATAGGAGCAGAGAGCCTCATCTTTCTCCCTTGGCGTGGCTGGTGGACCTTGCAGGTAGGAGCTCACCATGTGACCCGCTACACCACCGGGGTTCCTGCCCCAAGCCCTGAGAGGAGGTTCTTCACTTACACTGGCCTGAGCTGAGAGCAGCCTGGCTTCCCCTGCGCTTTGCTGGAGCAGCTGGACGCCTGCAAGGGTGGGTGAGCTAGGAAAGGGCACTCAGTGCAGCAGCATTAAGGTTCTGGCACAGTAAGTTTTCTTTGTCTTGTTCCTCCCACAGGTGTTCAGTGAGATTCGTAATGAGCACTTCTCCAATGTCTTTGGCTTCCTGAGCCAGAAGGCCCGGAACCTGCAGGCCCAGTATGATGTGAGGCTCCAAGTCCGAGTCCTCCGTCTGTTTCTTCGGTAGCCTTGCCAGGCTGCTGCCCTTCGGCTCCTGGTCTGACACCATGCCAGTCCTCCGGAGTCTTCACCAAACCCAGGGAGGGGGCTGGTTCTCATCCCCGGGGTCAGGGAGGGTTTACTTTATGGGGACTTCCCGACAGCGACGGAGAGGCATGGACATCAAGCAGATGAAGAACTTCGTGTCCCAGGAACTCAAGGGACTGAAACAGGAGCACCGCCTGCTGAGTCTCCGTAGGTTTCAGCTTGAGGAGATGGGGAGGGAAACTGAATCCGTACACCCCCCTGCCCCTACCCCCACCTCAAGGGAGACCCCCACTCACCTGAATATAATGGCTTTCTTTAGTCTAAAGTGAGTAGGGGGGGGGGCGGCGGCAAAGGACCATCCTTTTAGAATCAGGAATCTGATTCTGCCCCCATGTTGTCCCGTCTGCAGATATCGGAGCTTGTGAGTCCATCATGAAGAAGAAAACCAAGCAGGATTTCCAGGAGCTGATCAAGACGGAGCACGGTACCCACAGCAGCCTCACTGGCAACTTCCCAGACAGCCACCTCCCTGACTCCCTTGCCCCTCGCCCACCCTTTCAGGGTGCTCTCTGGATCTGCCCAGCTGACACTGGCTCTGTGGAATGCAAGATTCTGCGAGAAGTTCAGGAGGTCCCTTAACCCACCTGGCAGATAGGAAACAAGATGGGGGAGACAGATGCTCGTCAGCGTAGATGGCAAGAGCCGAGCTGATTGCCCAGTAACAAGCTCTGCTCCGGTTCCTCACAGGACTGCTGGAGGGGTTCAGCCTCCGGGAGAGCACCAGCTACATTGAGGAACACATAGACCGGCAGGTGAGCCTGGGGTGGGCGGGGGGGTGGGGTGGGGGGCGCGTGCAGTGGTGTGTGGCGTAGGGTCTGCCTGAAGCCCAAGGAAGAGGAGAGAGGGCCCTGCATGAGGAAACGGCATCCTCACAGGTCTCTCTTCCGGTGCAGGTGTCGCCCATAGAAAGCCTTCGCCTCATGTGCCTTCTGTCCATCACTGAAAATGGTAAGTTGCAGGGGTTGAAGACCAGAGGCCGAGAAACTGCCTTAGGGATGGCAGAAATAAGCTAGGAAAACAGGGCCGAGACCTTAGCAAACAATGTTTTCCCGGAACTTCACCGATTCTTTTCCTTGTAAAAGAAACCTGTTTTTGTTTCAAGTGAACTATCTGGTCATCATGTCATTCATTGTCCCAGCCCTGAGCAGGGTCACACCTAGGCCACCCCAGAGCAATGCCAGTCCTATGCAAAGCATGGAGCTGAGTGGCATTTCTCTTGTCCTTCCACTGGGCTGCCCATTTCCCACAAAAACTCAAACCCAAACTCGCTGCCATCAAGCCAATTCTGACTCAGTTACAAGTAACTAACTGCCATCAAGTTAATCCTCACTCATGGCAACCCTGCAGGGACAGGGTAGGACTGTCCCTGTGAGTTTCTGAGACTGTAACTCTTTGGGGGAGTATAAAACACCATCTTTCTTTCTTGGAGCAACTGGTGGTTTTGAAGTACTGACCTTGTGGCTATCAGCCCAACATATACTGTATATACTCGAGTATAAGCCGACCTGGATATCAGCTGAGGCATCTAATTCTACCACAAAAAACTGCATTAAAAATGTGCTAAAAAACTCGCCTTATACCCAAGTATATACGGTAATCACTACGCCACCCGGGGTCCCTATTTTCCATAAAGCTTCATAATAAAGGTGCATTCCAGGAAAAAGGTTCGTCCAACTCACTGTATAAGGGTTTCTAAAAGCGTGGGTCTGTGACCTTTGGTGGCAGCTTGTTTGGGTCGGGGGAGCCTTCCATTTGGGAGATGTTCTGCAAGGTCACTAGCAGCCTGGAAAAGTATTTTGCTTAGTAGAAAATCTGGATTTGGAAGTCCATTTCTTCTCACCTCAATGGCTGTTAAAGCATTTGCAATTGCATTTGTGAAACTCATTTGAACACTGTGCTGTGAAGTAGCTATCAAGCAGCTCCAAGCCGAGCTAACTGCCTCTTAGATGGGAAGAAACGCACAAGAAGTCACTCCCCCCTCCGCCATACCCCTCCTGTGTGAGTAGCAGTAGGCTCAGTGCTCCCCTTGACCTCTCCGACCCAGCCTTCCTCTTTCCGTACAAGCCGCAAATGTACACATCCGTTTAGTGTATGTTGCAAGGTTAAATTCATCTTGGCATCCTTCCTCCCACCTAGGGGCTTTTGTTTTTGATAAGGGGATTGTTTGCTAGTTGGTTGCTTGAGCTATCCATTCGACCCTCTTTCTCATTCATCTGTCATATTCCTCACCCTCAGGTTTGATCCCCAAGGACTATCGATCTCTGAAGACCCAGTATCTGCAGGTACGGCCTGGCGAACAGATCCTTGCGGGAATTGGAGGGAAGTCACTGGACGTTTTTGAAAGAGCCACAAGGAAGAATGACCGACCCCTTTCCTGTTCTCAGCAGCAGCCTAGTTCCATGACAGCCTCCTCCTCAGAGGGACGAGGGACAAGTCACCTTTCAGGAGATGAGACTCTCCCCACTGTCCCTCTCATGGAGGATGGCCAGTTCTGAGGGAATTGAGACACTGCTGGGCTGTTGAAACCAGTGACAAGTTCCTTGCCCAGGTGGCTCCCTCTCATCCTAGAATCCCAGGAGGCACCGATACAGCTTTCCGTCAAGCTGTTGCTCAACGCCTCCCTCATCCGTGAGATCTTCCCTGCTGGCCTGACAGGCATTCCATATTCATCAGTAGTTTCAGACCAGTCTGTTTTCTTTGCTGAGTGGCTATTTCTGGCATGTACAACTCCCTTTTTTCTTTTAATAATTCTTTTCACTGGAGGCTCTTACAGCTCTTGTAACAATCCACACATCAATTGTATCAAGCACCTTTGTGGCAAGTACGACTGTCACACATAAAAAGTGAACTTTTTTTCCTTTTTAATTTTTTACTATGAATTGGGTGCAGGTTTGCAGAGTAGATCAGTTTTCCATTCGACAATTTGTACACATTTTGTTTAATGTCATTGATTGCAGTTCCCACACTGTACTAGCACTGAGCCCACTTCCTCCTCGTTTCTTCCTTCCCTAGCCCTAGTGAGCTTTGTCCTTGGATAAGTCTGCCCTCTGGATCTCAGATGGTTGCTTATTCTCCACGTGCTTCCTTCCTAGTGTTGGTGGTCCTCCAATAGACCTGTCTCCTGTGTGGCTGAACATTGAGCTACAGGACTGAGTTCAATTGAGTGTGAGCTCTTTTCAGGCCCTGGGCCACACAGTCCTCTCCCTGCCGCCATTGTATCTGATAGTGGATGTTCGGTGGGTAGCTGGATTGCATCTTTCTCTAGAGCTATGGCCCTGAGCACCTGCTAACCTTCTCCAATCTGCGGCGAGCTGGGCTCCTCACGGAGCAGGCCCCGGGGGACACCCTTACAGCAATGGAGAGCAAAGTGAGCAAGTTGGTGACGGACAAGGCCGCAGGTGAGCGGGGACCCTCCCCTGCTGCTGTTCCCTTGTTTCTCAACAGCCTGGGTGGGTGAACGCCTGAGCTGAGGAGAGAGACTGTGATTCCTAACTATTTCTGCTTCTGCTAAGAAGAGCCATTTCCACTTCTTGAATACTGAATCCTCTGCCGTGTACTAAATGCTATAGAACAGTTTTTCATCTAATCCTCCCAAAGATTCTATAAGGCTAGTTTATTATCTCTGTTTCACAGATGAGGAAACTGAGGCAGGCATAAAGTGAGTTGTCCTAGTCCCTCAGTAACCAGGTCAGATTAGAAAGTAGGTCAGTTTGACTCCAGAAAAGCAAATCCAATGCCATCTGGTTTTGACTTACAGCAACACTGTACGACAGAGTGGAGCTGCTCTCTGGATTCCTGAGACTGAATCTTGAAAGGAGTAGATAGCCTCATCTTTGTCCTGCAAAGTAGCTGGTGGATTCAAACTGCTAACTCCGTGGTTAGCAGCTCAATCCATAACGTACTATACCACCACGGTTCTTCCCCAAACCCACACACGCGCTTAGTAAACCAGGGTCATTCTGAAGATTGCATTTCATAAGCTGCTCTCATCCTGTAGGGGGAGGAAGACTCATCAGGGAGGGGGGTGGGTGCCTGGACCAGTTTGGAGGAATTGTAGCCAAAAGGCTTTGAGGGGTCTTCAGTGTGATCTAAAAACCCAAACTCACGGCCATGGAGCCGATTCCCACTCACACCGACCCTATAGGACAGGGTAGAACTGCTCCTGTGGGTAGGACAGGGTAGAACTGCTTACAGTGGTTTTGGACTGCTGATCTTGGGGTTCGCAGCCTAACGCCTCACCACTACACCACCAGGGCTGCCTGAGAAGAGGCTCTGCTTGCTTGAATGGTGCTGGCCAGTGTCCTGAAGCTGTAGACCAGTGTTCCCCAAAGCAGGCAACACCACCTTCTAGGAGGCAGTAGGTCCAGGTGTCTGCAAAAGCAGAGAATTACATTTTGTCCTGGATTATAGGCCACGGTATAAAAAATTTATATGCTAGAGTGCTTGGAGTAATTTTTTTCTCTGGAAAGGGGAGGTAGGCCAGTAAATGTGGGAACCTATGCGGAAGGCCTTAGATGAATACTAGGAATGCTTTCTTCTCCAGGAAAGATTACTGATGCCTTCAGTTCTCTGGCCAAGAGGAGCAATTTTCGTGCCATCAGCAAAAAGCTGAATTTGGTATGTGGAACAGGGAGCAGGGAGGAGAGGCAGTGGGTTCCATCCTTTGTGGTTTGATAAGGGTCCCTGGCTTGGTAGCATTATGGCCTGAGCTTCACCGAATCGTGAGACAGGGCCCAAAGATTCATTCATGTGACTATTGCTGGTTCCACTTTTACTTGGAGTAAGAGCTTTTTTAAAAAATAAGCCACCAAAATACCCATTTATAAACTATCAAGGGATCATGCGGGAGGGGGGAGCGGGGAGGGAGGGGAAAAATGACCTAATGTTGGGGGTTTAAGTGGAGAGAAAATGTTTTGAGAAACGATGTACAAATGTGCTTTACACAATTGATGTGTGTATGGATTGGGATAACAGTTGTATGAGCCGCTAATAAAATGTTTTAAAAAAAAAAAATAAGCCACCTTTATGTGGCCCTTAACAGGACTACAAGGCCGAGTTGACACTTGCCCAGCGTCAACCTTTTGCCCTCTAGATCCCGCGAGTGGATGGCGAGTACGACCTGAAAGTGCCCCGGGACATGGCCTATGTCTTCAGTGGTGCTTATGTGCCCCTCAGCTGCCGAATCATAGAGCAGGTGAGTGAGGCCTAGCGGCTCCGGCACACCCAGGCTTCACCCCCTTTGCCCTCTGTGCGGCCCTGGGAAGCTGGCGTCCGCTAACATTTTACTGCCCCAGAAACACCCAGGCTGGCCGCTGCATCCTCTTTCCATCCACCACGCTCACTCTGTAGATTTGAACCTAGAGCTTGTCCCTTCCCAGGTACTAGAGCGGCGAAGCTGGCAGGGCCTTGATGAAGTAGTACGGCTGCTCAACTGCACGGAGTTCGCCTTCACAGGTATGCGGCCTGGGAGCCTGGGGCGGTCGGTGGTCACGGGAGACGAGCTGGGGGGAGGCATCACCCAGTACCAGTGTGTCAGTGAAGACTTGCCTCTGGTCTGACCCTTGCAGACGTGACCAAGGAAGATAAGGCTTCCAGCGAGTCCCTGCGTCTCATCTTGGTGGTCTTCCTGGGTGGCTGCACGTTTTCTGAGCTCTCGGCCCTCCGGTTTCTGGGCCGAGAGAAAGGTAAGAGGGCAGAAAGGTGTCTACAGGTCTGCGTGGGATCTGGGTGAGAAAGGCCTGGTCCCTGGCTACCACTTGTCATTGCCGTGCTCTTGGGCTGCCGTAGCTGGGAGCCTTGTTCTACCAGCTGGGCAAGTTGTGTCTAAGGGCCCAAGAGAGCTGTGGAACTGCAGGGGCGCCACAGGGGCTGCTGGGGGCCCTGCCGCTTATGTGTTGCTGTGACTCCCTAGGGTACAGGTTCATTTTTCTGACGACAGCAGTAACAAACAGTGCTCGCCTTATGGAGGCTATGAGTGAATTGAAAGCCTGAAGTTTTCCCACCCAGTGCTGGTGTCTGCTCTGGATCCGTTCCCCAGTGGACTGCGGGACCTCTGCACCGGGGGTAACAGAGTGTCCTCCAACTCCCCGGTTAGGAGCTGGAGTCCTGGAACTGACTTGGAACTTAGAGATCTCTGGGGAGTGCGTTCACTTCCTGCACCCAGAGAGTTCTCTCTCTGTTTGTTTATGATGTACAGCTCCTGCTGATACAACGTGAAAGGGAAACGAGGCATCCTTTGCTAATTGCTATTTGAATATCATTGTAAATAAAGCTTATTCTGTAGTCTCTGATGTAATATATTTGTCGCTTTGGATACCTGCACTTTCTTTTAATTAGGGAAGCCACAGTGGGGCTTTCCATAGGGGCTTCTCTCAAGTGCTCTGAGCTTTAGCCTCTATGGAGATGTCACTCACCTAGTCTGTACTGGCATTTCCTCAACCATAAACTGAGGGGGTGCATTAGATGACCAGCAGGCGGGCACCCTTCCCATCTATTGCGCAGTGCAACAATTACAAGTAATTAGTTTTCTCTCAACAAAACTGTGTCTGTACATGTTTACTGGATATGCATACCCCCAAATACGGCTTTTATAACTGGTACCTGTTGACAATTAGACATGTAAGCAACATCACAATCTGATCATGCTTGGACTCTAGGACTCCCTCTCCTACACCCGTCAGTTTTGTGCCTGAAGCTGCTACACAACTAGAGTTGCAAAATAAGCCAAACCTGGTTGAGTAGCAGTTCAAGTTCATCTAGTTTCCGTTCTGACATAGAATGGAAAAGATCAAACCAGCTGACACTTGTCTTAAATATTTTAAAGTCACTTCTGTTTAAATCCTAGGGGGGGAAAATTTACTATGAGATTAACCATTACAGATTGATGTGTGAGTTGATTCCTAAACTAGCAAACTACTGAAAAACTTCAGTCTTACCAAAGTGTAAGATGTAGCAATAGAAAAAAAAAAAAGAGAGACATAGCAATAGCAATGAATTTCCAGGTATATTAAACATTTATAATGTTAAGTTACTACACAGTAATTGAATACATTGATAGATAAATGTGATATGTAAAATTAAGGATGAGATGCAAAATATGTGATGCAAACATACCACTTTTTTTTTTTTTTACAAGATATGAAAACCTTTTATTTTCCAAAAGGGCATGCATCTGTACATAACCTACAACTGAGAGTCCCGAGTCCCAAAGTAGAAAAATAAACTATGTCCTCCCAGAGGCACCACCAGGGCAAGGGGCGGCTCCTGGCAGGGGGGAGGCTCCTGGTAGGGGGGAGGCACAGGGGAGGGTTTCCCAGACCCTGAGGCTGAGGGAGGCGGCTGGGTGCCAGTTCCCAAAGACACCCAACCTACATGTATGCCTACTGGGCGCAGGGGAGGAAAGCTAATTTCCAGCCGCATTCCAGAACGGGGATGTCGCCCCACTCCACAGCTACCCACAGGCTTGCAAACAGACCACTTTTAATCATCAGTATTTCGTAAGTGTCCATTTTACTTATGGTAAAAACATGAAAGGGTGACACAAAAATTTAAAACCTTACTTGTAAATAGAATTGGCCTAAAAATGAAATACCACTTTCTGCCCACAACACAGCTTTGTTTTCCTATAAAACAAACAAATAAAAGGTATTCTCTAATATCTACCTTAGACATCCTTTATTCATTGCCACTAAGCTGATTCTGACACGCTGTGGCTGTCTAGAACGGGGTAGAACTGCCTCCATCTTACTGTGATTTGGGTGAAAGTTTACAAAGCAAATTGGTTTTCCACTTAACATTCTTCCCACTTACTGCCTGGACTTGCTGATTCCGTTCATTTCTATTCCTTCCCGTCTCTGAGCTTATCTCTGGGCAAATGCTGCCCTTTGAACTCACAGGTTTGTTGTCCCAGAGATTGCATACCTCCCTGGAGTTGTTACTCAGTTTATAAGCCTGTCTGTAAGTTGAGCAATAGGGGTGAAGGGTTTCGAAATGCCATAGTTTTAGGGGGACCCACCAGTCTCTCTCAGACCAGCAAGCCTGATCTGTTTTATTATTTTGAGTTTTGCGTCACATTTACCTCCCACTCTATTATGAGCCTTTTCAGAGCTGTCAGCAGCGGTATCTGAGCCCCATCTGGTTCTTCTGGTCTCGGGGTTGTGGAAGCTGGATTCACATGGTCCAATTAGTATGATGGACTGATTGTTTCCTTATATTTTAATTTTTCATTCTTCTTGGCTCCCAACGGAGAAAGACCAATAGTTACATCCAGATCAGGGATATAATCTTTAGGAACCAGGCCATTTGTCCCACCGAGTGGTTGGTGAGTTTGAACTACTCACGTTTAGATTAGCAACCAAACTTACCCACTGCATCACCAGGCCTCCTGGGATCCTTACCCTATATTTAGGGGGACCCTGGTGGCACAATGGGTTAAACGCTGGGCTGCTAGCTGCAAGGTTGATGGTTAAACTCCAAAGCCACTCTGCAAGAGAAAGATGGGGCTGGCTGTTCTTGCAAAGATGTGCAGCCTCAGAGCCCTAAGGAACAGCTCTCCGCTTATCTCACAGGGCCTCTGAATCGAATGGACTTGACGGCAGTGTCGGTCTTTACCTGCATTAAAAGCTGCGTGATTGAGGAGCAGTCTTTCCAACTAGTTCATCAAATTACCAGTTCACTATGTGAGGGGCTTTAAAAAGTACGTGGAAAAATGGATTTAAAGATAGTGAAGACTTTCATGAACCTAGTTACACCTGTACTTGGTATATATCCAATAAGATAGGCAAAGTAGGGATTCTTGTAACTGCAAGTGAGTAATGAAGTTAATATAAAGCACCTCTGCTCTATTAGTAGTCTCTCGGCAGAATTACAAAGAAATCAATCCAAATGTGGGTGGGGTTTTAAAAAATTTAACATTGTAATGTTGATGGAAAAAATTACATTTAAAAATTAGAAATCACACAAAATGTTTATACTCCTGGGACCCTTTTTGGGTCACAGCCCGCTCTAATGTAGGGAGCTTCCCCGGGGTGTGGCTTGTATCGCCTTGGCCCTTGCATGGAAGTTCAGAGAAATGAGCGGAAGAGAGCTCAAAAAGCAGAGAGCGCAGAGGGACTCTTTGTGGACCTGGAGCCCTCTAAGCCCCAGGGGAAGATTGATGCCAAGACACAGGCGCGTGGAGAACTCCAAGAAACACCAGGCCCACAGATGTTGAAAGGTGACAGTGACCTTCCTCCAGAAGCCTTCCCTAGAGCTGGTGCCCGGAATTTGGACTTCTAGCCTCCAAAACTGTGGAAAAATTAAGTTCTTTGTTAACATCACCCACTTGTGCTATATATAGTAGGAACTATAGTGGCACTAAAAACTAAGGTCTTATTCAGACATTTTTACAATGTTGAGTATATGCTCTAAACCAGCAGTTCTCAACCTGTGGGTCGTGACCCCTTTGGGGGGTCTTAACAACCCTTTCACAGGGGTCACTCGATTGATAACAGTAGCAAATTACAGTTATGAAGTAGCAACAAAAATAATTTTATGGTTGGGGGGGGTCACCACAACTGTATTAAAGGGTCGCGGCATTAGGAAAGTTGAGAACCACTGCTCTAAAAGATTATCTTCCATGGTCCTATGCCTTTTTTTTTTTTTTTAAATACTGCATTACTACAGTGTAAAAATTGTTTTTTAAACAGTTTTATTAGCACTTTATCCACATGTCTTACAATTCAACAATTCAATCATGAAGAACAGTTAAGAGATTCATTTCTTTTTAAAAATTTTTTTTCAATTCTTTTTTTTAAACCATTTATTAGGGACTTATACAACTCATCACAATCCATACATACATCAATGTATAAAGTACATTTGTACATTCATTGCCCTCGTCATTCTCAAAACATTTGATCTCCACCTAAGCCCCTGGATCAGTTCATTTCCCGACCCCCGCTCCCCCCTCCCTCAAGAACACTTGATAATTTATAAATTATTATTTTTGTCATATCTTGCACTGTCCGACGTCTCCCTTCACCCACTTTTCTGTTGTTTGTCCCCCAGGGAGGAAGTTATATGTATATCCTTGTAACCGGTTCCCCCTTTCCAACCCACCCTCCTTCCACCCTCCCAGTATCGCCACTCACACCACTGGTCCTGAAGGGATCATCTGCCCTGGATTCCCTGTGTTTACAGTTCCTATCTGTACCAGTGTACATCCTCTGGTCTAGCCAGATGTGTAAGGTAGAATTGGGATCATGATAGTGGGGCAGGGGAGGAAACATTTAGGAACTAGAGGAAAGGTGTTATGTTTCATCATTGCTACATTACACCCTGACTGGCTCATCTCTTCCCCAAGACCCTTCTGTAAGGGGATGTCCAGTGGCCTACAAATGGGCTTTGGGTCTCCACTCCGCACTTCCCCCCTGATTCACAATGATATAACACCTTCAGCACCTCGTGATTGCACAGGCTGGTGTGCTTCTTCCATGTGGGCTTTGTTGCTTCTGAGCTAGATGGCCCTTTTTTATTTTAAAGAGTATCAATTCTTAAAGTTTTCTGGTAATTTCCTTTTAAGTTCATCAATGGAGATTGCAAGTGAATTTACAGAGGTTCCTGTAGTTCATTATAAGGTGCCCTGGTGGTGTAGTGGGTTCTGATCACAAAGTCAGCAGTTTGAAACCAGCCACTCTGCAGGAGAAAGGCTTTCTGCTTCTGTAAAGATTTACTTCCTTGGAAACCCAAAGGAGCAGTTCTACTCTGTTCTATTGGGCCACTATGAGTCAGAACGGACTGGGCATCGTTGAGTAAATAATGTATTATTACATTAGCGATATGAATACTTGTCATATTGCCAACAAGTTCAAAGATACTCAAAGATACACACACACACACACACATCAGGACAAAAACCTGAAGCAGGCAAATATTCTTTACCTTTTTGGAAAAGGTAAATAAGAATTCATAGAAGTTACAGTTGGCCAGGAAACAACTGCAAAATTTGCAATTTCAGTTGTAATCAAAGAAGTGCAAATCAACAAAGGAAATGCCACTTTTACCTATGAAACTAAGAGGGCAGTTCCAGCAAGGGTTGGTGGGCAGGGCAAATTAATATCTGGAAAAGCAATATTAATGCTACAAATTCTTTCTTTATTAACGTTTTATTAGGGGCTCATACAACTGTTATCCCAATCCACACACATCAATTGTGTAAAGCGCATTTGTACATCGTTTCTCAAAACATTTTCTCTCCACTTAAACCCCTGACATTAGGTCCTCATTTTCCCCCCCCTCCCCCCACAAATTCTTTAAATTGGTAATTACACTACTAGGAAATCAACCACAAAAATGTTTTAATGCAAAACATGCAGATTCATGTATAAAGACATTTACCCCATCATCATTTTTTATTTACAATATTAGCAATTCCTATTTATAGCAAAAGTTTATTAGAAATCTACATACAAGATAGGCAACTACGAATCATTGAAATATATATATAAGTATTTAAGGGTATAGTGTATGTTCAGTGAGAAAATAAAAATTAAAAACGACTATGATATCTACTTTGAATTATAAACATTTTACATAATGAGATAAACACATTATTATTTTTGTGAAAACCAAGCTCAGGTTACTTTCATTTATCATGCAATTTGGACGATCATGAAATTCTTCTGAAACTCTTTCTCTGTTAAATGGCGAAAACATCTAAGAGGATTGTTATGGGAATTAAATAAGGATAATTTGTCTAGAAAACTACCAGGCCCATGAGCAGAATTCCGTTTCATTCCCTTCCCCTGAGCACACGGTTTCCTGCATCTGGGAATGGTTCCCAATAGACTGAGTTCGTTGTCTGGAGAAGCGAGAGTAGCCAGTTAGATCCCGACGCCTTTTTCCTGGCCCGAGTTCGCTCACTGACCCGTGGCCGGCTCCGCGGAGCCGGTGCCTGCGCGTTCCCCGGACCTTCCCGACGGCCCCGGGTGGGCGGAGCGCAGTTCGAATCTAAACTCCGCGAGCCGGGTGGGGCTCCGACGAGGTCGTTGGCTCTTAGAGGAACGAGTCCCCGCCCTCCCCACGCCCATTCGTGGGGAAGGCAGAAAGCGAGCCGGGGATTGGCCTGACCGAGCGCATGCGCAGGCAGCGTCCCCGTCCCTGTGGGGTTCCGGACACTAACCAGCCGGCACTAGAACTGCTGTTCCCGGCCGGCGCGCCGGGATCGGACTGCGGACCCGTCCCGCCCCCGGCGAGGCGGGGCGAAGGCGGGGTTTCGCGCAAAGCGACGGGACGCAGCACCAATCACAGGGGAGCGCTGTCTCTCTGCTGGGTTTGAAATTCCGCGGGGCCCAACGGCTCGCGGACGTGGGACATGCAGTGAGTTCGCCGGTTTTTGCGGTGGTTGCTGCGCTCTGGCTCGCGTGGAGTGGACGGGTGCCTAGACGCCCGGCTGCTTGGAGAGTCCATCATGAGGAGAAGGTGCTGGTTGTGGGGGGAGTAAAGGGGCGTGGGAGGGACCGACCCCCGTCTGGCGTCCGAGGCCAGCCGGGGTCTGAGTGGCGCCCCCTTGGCCCAGATCGGGGACGTGCCGTGCGACCGCGCCCGAAGAGGGCCGAGGGCCTGAGCGCGGCTGAGCGGAGCCGGGGAGCTGGGAGCGGGTGGGCCGGCTGCGGGCGCGGTTCCTACCGGCCTCGACCCCCGGGTGCGGCCCAGCCGCTGGGTGGGCTCGGCGGGTCCGTCCGAGCCGCCCGCGCCGCGGAGCCCCACCCTGCTGCTGGCTGCGCCCCAGCTGCTGCTCCTTTAGCATTACCGCTGCTTGTGCCTCCTTATTTCTACTTCAATAGAGCCGTGACGTTTTTTAACTTATATTTTTACAAAATCTTTTTATTGTAAACTAGGGGGTTTACACATCAGGGTCATCATTTTTGCAGTCAACAGCTTAAACAACTCATCAAACCTCCCAGTGGCTCGCCGCGTCTCCTCGCCCCTCTTTTCTTCCCCCCATCAGCTCCCTCTTGTAGAATATTCTCTTCCCTTTCCCCCAAGTGAACACCTGTCTGCCCTCTCTAGCCCTCTTTCGGCCCTTCCCCTCCCGACCCGGTAACCATCTATTTCTTTGGGTATGAAACGATTTAGTTTTCCAAGTGTATATAGCGTATCCAAGTTGCGGTATTAACGTTTTACTTGAACTAGGAAGGTGAGTCTGTTTCTTCGCAAACCCCTCTGGAATTTCATACTCGTTTGGAATTCCTTTCCTGTGCGCAATCCCGGGGAAGGAGGGGAGGGGCCAGCTTGTAAGGTGCTGGGTGCTGCAGAGGGATTGATTGGGGCGGGGACGGGTGTTGAGGGCCTGGGAGGAAAGGCCGCCCTACTGGTGTGCTTACTAACTAATGACTTTGGACAGGATGTTGGACAGCCGTTTTCTCACCTCTAAAATAAGACTAGGTCTCTTGTGTTAAGAGCTATACCAATGTTAACACTATTATTGCAAAATAAGTAGCGTGATGATTCATTAATTTTATTTGTAGTTACTGGGTAACATTATTGCTCTGAGACTGTATAAAATTCCCTTTTTCCATGATTAGCAAGTGCTAACTCTCAGTAGATTGATTGGGAATTGAGTACAAACCATTAGGAAAACAACTCCCAGTGTAAGATTCTGAATGCTAAATGTTTTTCTAGTTAAAGGACAGGATATGAAGGTTGCTGTACATTTAAAGTAATGATGCATACCAAGAACTAGTTAAACCTTATATAATATTGGCAGTAAACATTTCTATTCCATTAACTGAATACATGAAGGAGGAGGAAATTAATCAGCTAGCTTTGGTTCCAGGCTGACAGGTATAGTAATTAGGCTTTAAAATAACCATTGGAATTACTGTACTCACCTAAATGTGATTTTTAGGTGATTTGGAGTTCAGGTAGTCATAGTTAGGAAAAACTATGAGAAATATGCCACAGCTAGATGTAAGATTGGCCAGTGGATTAATTGTGGGTATTAATTTCTGACAGGAGATTAACAAAACTCCATCTCTTGAGGACTATTTAGAGAAAAATTAGACAGTGGGTAGGGTGAACCCTGGGATTCAGAGACTTGTCTGAGATCCCTTCTAGTCCAGTGACTTTATGAGACTGGAAACACTGGCCTGTTTGTAGCTCCTTTGTTCTCTTAGGTGGTGGTCTTGCATTTGTCCTCAAGTTTCAATGATGTATTACAAGAAAAAATATTTCAGATTTATCTTTTTTGGGAAGCCATTTAGCATAACTATAATAACTGTTTACAGTGAGTGCTCTAAGGCATTACAACACCATATCAATTATTTTTGACATGTTAACTTTATTTTAAAATATTTATTGAGTGCTTATGTACAAGAGGGCTTCAGAATTTTTCTGGAAAAAATGGAGTTATAAGACACTTTCCATGAATTTTTTGAAGCTCCCTCATACAAGGTACCTTCTAGGGGTCAGTGTTCTAGTGATGAATAAAACTGATGTTCCAGTCCTCTTGCACTTCCAGTTTGGTCTCAGACAAACACTCATGGTTATCGAGTTGATGCTGACTCAGCGACCCTATAGGACAGGGTAGAACTGCCCCTCTGCATTTCTAAGACTACCGTAATTGTTTACAGGCACAGAGAGCCTTGTCTTTGGGACCCTTTGGTTTGATAGCCCAGGCAAAATAATCCTATCTCCTGTTCACGCGTGATTAGCAATATGGAACGAGTCTAGCAGAAAAGGGGCTGAGTACTGAGGGTGCAGGGAGCTGGAGCTTTAAGAGATGGGTGAGTCAAGGCTTTCCCGAGATGGCCTTAGAGCAGAGACTTACAGATGCCATGCAGACATCTAGGGGAGAAAAGATACAGATAGGGGGCCAGCAAATGCAAAGGCTTCAGGTGAGTTAAGCATACCGCTATGCATGTGATTCAGACTCAGGGAACTCATAGACCGTTTCTGAGATGAGATGTTATGGTAATGCACATCCTCATCTTGCTCCCACTAGTGAGTTTGAACCACCAACCTTGTGTTGGTTAAGTAGTGCAATGCCTACTTGGGAGAGTGCCTAGTACCTGGTATATTTGGAAAAAGAATAAGGAGATCTGTGAGCACAGAGAAAAGAGACATAATGGCTGTCAGATAAGATAGGGCTCTGCCAGTCAGGGTGCAATGTAGCAGTGATGAAAAATACAACTTTCCTCTAGTTCCTAAAGGTTTCCTCCCCACTCCCACTATCATGACACGAATTCTGGCTTGCAAATCTGGCTAGACCAGAGGATGTACACTGGTACAGATAGGAACTGGAAATCCAGGGAATCAGGGCGGATGATCCCTTCAGGACCAGTGGTGAGTGGCAAAACAGGGAGGGTAGAGGGAGAGTGGGTAGGAAAGAGGGAACCGATTACAAGGAACTATATATGACCTCCTCCCTGGGGGACAGACAAC